GGAGACCAAAGGACCAATAAATAAATAAATAAATAAAAATCCATGCTGGAAAAGAAATGTCCCAAGTCCTAAATGCACAAATACTTATGTGTATAGTAAAAACTACCTTACTTTAGAGGAAAAGATCAGTGGGACAGAGGTTGGAAGGAACATGAGGATCCAGCCAGGTTGGAATTCCTAGTGTGGGTGAAGGGGAGATCCTGCCTCTCATTCTTTTTGTTTTTCCCCCCTGTGTAGAACATATCTTTCTTTTTTATTATTATCTTATTTTATTTAAATTCAATCACTTATCATTAGTTTCAGATGTAGAGTTCATATTCATCATTTGCATATAACACCCAGTGCTCATTATATCACATGCCCTCCTTAACGCCCATCACCCAGTTACCCCATTTCCCCACCCACCTCTCCTCCAGTAACCCTCAGTTTGTTTCCTCTTTCTAGGTCGTTTGTCCCAGAGTGATTCTCCTAAGTCACCCTTGGCCTACTATCTGCTTGGGAAAATGGAAGTGATCATCATAGAGAGGCTGGGGAAGCCAGTGGCATTGACTGACTCAGTCTCATCCCTTGAAAGAGACCAACCCTCAATAAGAAACTATCTCTATGTGCTTGGAGGGATCTCTCTTGGGTGTTTAATACCCCTCTGTCTTTCAGTTCTGACTCCACCTCTTGTTGTGGGATTTTAGAAAAGTTAAACCTAAATCTCACCCCTGCAGCCCCCGCCCTTGCCACAAGCCACTATGAGTATCTTCTACATTGGGTTATTGTAAATGTTAAAAGAAGATAATCCAAGGAAACTACCCGGCACATAATAAGTGCTCCCCAAATCTCCTCCACCTCCTTCTTCTCTAAAAAAAGTAAAGAGTGTCTTGGCTTCTATTATGTCATTGATTAACGGTGAGAAAACTATGCATCCATTATTTGCAAACAGATAAAGCACTTTTGGGGCAAGACTTTTAGGAAGGCAAAGGAATATTACTGAAGTTAAAAATAAATAATTTCTTGTCTTTATTTCTCTTCTCTACTAAGAATTGCTAATATTGCTTGCTGCCCTCATGGGATGTTCTAAGGATAAAGCAAGGGATGAAGTGAAGTATTCAGAACAGTGTCTGCCCAAAGGAGGTACGTGATGAATGTTGGCTACTTTTATTATTTTCTAACATCCTTCTCTTGTGCTGTGTGAATTTTCAGTTGATTATTTAAATTCCTTGTTTGCTTTCCACATTAAAAAATGGTTTTATTTATATGCATGTGAGCTATAACAAGAAACTGAATGGGATAGTTTGGGGAGGGCACATAGACATAATTATTTAAAGTAACTGGGATTTTTCCTTCGTGGGTGACAAGTAAATAGATTCTGTTTCATCCGTTTCACAAAAAGGAATTTGTTTTATATTTATTAGAATGTTAGAGTTTAGGAAGAAAACCAACCACTAATAGAAACATGCAAGTCAAACCTGGCTTTGCGGGGACATAGCCTTTTTTTCCCTTGAATATACACGTATATTTTGAGTTTAAGTTAAAAAAATAAATCACACAGACAGTGAAATAAATGTGCATGTGGAAGGAAGGTGAATGAGAGATGAAGGGTATGCTTATAATCTCCCCTGACATGATAGTCCTGAGTACAGATGTGCTATGAAATCAAGGCGACATCTGGCAAGTCATAAGCTCTTGTAAGTTACAACATAAACAAATATTGGAAACAAATTAAAATAAGTAAACATGGGAAAGTGTTATGCAAATAGGTAATCAACAAATGGCAGTATTTGAAAATATAACAGACACAAGAAGAGAGAGTTGATCTTTATATTTTTTATTTATAAAAGTAACACTTTCTTCTTTTGATGAAGTGGTATAGAAATATATGAAATAAAAAGTGCAAATTCTCATCCATCTGCCTCTTTGTCTCAACCATTTCCCAGAGGTAATGTCAAGATACTGACTGTGGAAAAGTTAGTGACAGTATGCTAGATCAGGCATCATTTTGGGTATAGTTACATTAAATTTTTTTAGCACGGAAAATTTTAAACATGTAATAGTAAAGAGAAATGAAATGAAATGAACCCATATTTGATGAGAAATGAAATGAAATGAAATGAACCCACAATTATTAAATTTTTGCTAGTCTTCATTTTTTCTTTTTAATATACAAAGTCCAAAATGTTTATAGTGATGGAGCCAAATTTGGCAACATGGAGTATAATTTATGTAGCGTGCTTTGGTGATATGAACAATGTATATTCTGTGTGCATGAAACCCAAAGAAGTAGCTAGAATATAGAGCACTCTGTGACTGAGTTAAAGTTGCCCTAGATGGAGCTACGTGATGACAGCTCATTTCTGCTCATATTGCCTTTATTTTCAGCGTTGTAACTGTAGTCTCTATTATAGTGCCTACCACATAATAGGTGCTCAAAAACTGCTATTGTATGAGTGAGCCTTATTTGCAGTGTAGATCTCTGTAGCACAAAGGCGGCCACATACTGTATGTAGCATGACTGATCTTCATAGGATGCTTTCCATGTATTAGATGCTTACTAGGTACTAAGTGTGCTCACCAGCTGTTGGGTCCTATTCTAAGTGCCTTACGTGAAATAACTCATTTAATTCTTACAAAAAACCCTATGAAGTAGGTACTATTATCATCTTTTGTGTCTCATAGGTATGCAACCAATAAATGGGTCAGGATCACATGGATAGTAAGGGGTAGATCTGAGGGTTAAGCCCAGGTAGTGTGGTCCCAGAGTCTGTGGCACTCTTTGCTGCTTCACCCCCAAATGTGTCTGAATCCCATCTCTGGAACACTAAACACACTTGGGCACTTTGATAGGTTGTGGTTGTACCTGTACTGCAGGATTAAGTCACAAAATCACTTCAATGGTGCCAGATAATGGGAGGGTGTTGCCCATAGACCAGGCGTTTTTCAAAAAACAGACTTTGTCATTTTTCATGAACATAAGGCACTTCTAAGTACTGTGTGGGAGGGAATGTGGTAGACTGATTTCATTGAGACCCTGCCAAATTCTGGTCTTGTGGCCATCAAAGACGCATCATTTCCTCCAAGACTTCTAAAGGGGGCTATTACCACGGGCCTGCAGGTTCTGGTTTGCATTCGGAGGAGACACTATCTTCCTAAGTGAGACCTGGAAGAGGAAGTGTCATGAATTGTAAATAAGCCTGAGAAAAAAGAATTGTTTGGAGATGGAAATGGAAATGGAGTAAAATGGCCTTTTCCAAGCCAGGTTCCAACCCCCTTCCCCATGTCCAGCTTTGCCAGAGCCTGTCCTGTTTTATTTGCTAAGTTTACTCGCAGGAAGAGAGGAGTTTCTTTAAGGAGATCTGTGCCTCTTCCCAATAAATATCTCCTGGATCAAATATTAGTACATCTCTACTGGGAAACATCATGCCACTATTAAAAAGAATAAGGTGGAACCTTACGGGTTGATGTAGAATGATCTTCAAGTTATATTATATTATATTTTTAAAAAGATTTTATTTATTTATTTAAGAGGAGAGAGAGGGAGAGAATGAGCAGGGGAGAGGAACAGAGGGAGAGGGAGAAGCAGGCTCCCCTTGGGATCATGACCTGAGCCAAAGGCAGATGCTTAATGAACTGAGCCACCCAGACATCCCTCAAGTTGTATTTTAAAGTAAAAAAAGCCAACACACAATACTTATACCCAGGCCACCCTTGGTGATCTTAAACATAGAAAAAAAAGCAATACTTCACACTGGGTATTTCGTTAGGCCTAGATGCAGAAATAATAATTCTACCTCCTCATCTCCCTGAAGGATGATCCTTTAAGACAGAGAGATCTGCAAGATCCTTATTTAAAGAAGTTAGGGGAATTTGGTGTCACTCTCTAGGTGGGGAGAAATGGAGAGAAAAGAAGGGGAAAAGAAGCATCTAAAGGACCTGAATTCTCCAAACAGCTCCATGAGGAGTCTACACATGCAGAAAGATAGCTGTGAGGTTTGGTACGGAGTGTTCTGTGTGCCCTGGGTCTGATCCCGGAGCATTTCCTTCATTGCATCTCCAGTGAAGCCGGCCTGCTTTGCCTCAGCCTGAGGGTATCTTGTCTGGGAGCTCCGTTCTGAAAAGGGACCTGTCAAAAGCTCAGGAAGAGTCAAGTAGGGGCTCCTTGTCAGGTAACAAGGTGGACAAAAGCCCCTTGTCAAGGAGAGAGCCTCACTCGGATGGGTGGCTCTCACAATGCAGGTGTGCTAGAGCCCTGGGTGCCTACAGCTCCGTGCTGTAGGTTTTTGGTGAAAGCCCGGTAAAGGGTCTCAAATTTAAGTGCCTTTGGGGACTAGGCTGGTAACCTAAAAACATTTGAAGATGCCAGGTGTAAGAGGAAATAGGAAAGAGGAAAGAGGAAACACTTTGGAGAACTTAGCATGTGTATATTCTGACTAAAGACATTCAGAGTCGGATTTTTAAACTATAGTTTTTTTCTAGCCAAGCAAACCAGGCTGCAGTCACCGCCGGTTTGCGATCCTGCATTCGCCTGGGCTCAGGAGAATGGTCCCTGGTCGCTTCAACCTTCTGCTGATCCACGGTCTGTCCCCCAGCCACTTCAGGAACGCGCGGGCGCCGAGGACGGTCGCAAATTTCGGTACTCCTGAAGGCTCCGCGTCCCTCGCCTGCACTGGCAGCGCTGTCCCCTGCTTCGATATCACCCCCCCCCCCCCCCCCCCCGCCTCTCGGAAGGCCCCAGCCTACTGAAGCTTGGAGTGTTTCGGAAGCCCTTACGGGAGTTGGTGCGCCTGGGACGTTTCGAGGCCACATGCAGTCCCAGGCAAGCGGGGAGACCGGGAGACCTAATCCGCACGGGAAGCAGCGGGTCCCGGCCTGGTACCCGGCTGAGAGGCGGGGCCGGCGGCCGAGGGGAACCCCGCCCCGGCCCCGCCCCTCACAGTCCCGCCCCCAAGCTCTAGAGTTTCGGCTTCCAGCTCTCGCAAGGCACTAAGTCCCGGGACCCCGGGAGAGCTGGCGGTGGGTGATTGTGTTTCTCCTGCCCGCGCAGAGCATCACTTGCGCGCTGCCGAAAGCCCGGAGCGGTTGCGCAGCGGGGATTTCCTGTCCTCCCGGCCCCCGCAGACACTCCTGCAAGCCGGGACCGGAGCCAGGGCACCCTCCCCTTTGCGCCCACAGTCCTGCACTACGGAGCCCGTTCCACCTCCGCGCCTTCTTCGCGGGACAGGCCCAGGGAGAAAGAACCGGCGCCCGGGTCCTGGGCACTGCGCCCGGCGCGAGGTGCGGGATGGAGAGCAAGGCGCTGCTGGCCATCGCTCTGTGGCTCTGCGTGGAGACCAGGGCTGCCTCAGTGGGTAAGGAGCCCACTCCCTAGAAGGAAGGCGGAAAGGTCGGGTGCGGGCGGAGAGATGGGGGGATGCGGAGAGGTCCTGGAGGCCGGATCTTACTCGGAATCAGAGAGCTGGGAAGATGAAAAATGACTTGACACTTTGTGTTTTTTCATTTACCAATGAGGAAACTGAGGCTCTTTGATTGGCTTAAGATTATCCAGAGATTTGGTGGTCTCCCGAGCCCAGTTCCTCCCCCCCCCCCGCCCCCGACTCTGGTCTTCCACCGGGCCTCGGCTGGAGCGAGTGCTGCGGGGCCGACACACCCTCAGGCTCTCGAGAGGTCTTGGGTGGGAAGGCAGGCGCCCGGGGTTGGCAGGCAGGAGGTGCCCCCGCAGGCGGGAACTTTGTCCCGCTGGTTGCACGGTTCCAGCCCTGGCTCGCGGAAGGACGCCTTGCAGGGAGCTCAAGCAGGTTTGCTCGGATGGCACGTATCGCGCCCTCAGTTCTGCTTCGCAGGAGTCGAGCGGACCCCGGTGTGCTGTTCCCTTCTGGTCGGAACCCACAGACATACCCACTGTATGAGGTGCAGTTCAGGGAAACTTTTTTCCCTTCTTTGGTGCAAGATGCTACTTCCCTTGCAGAGAGAAGGTGAAATTGGGCTCCGAGCCGGGGTTGTGACAGCCTCCCCAAATGTCTCAAAGTTAACACTCACCTTTCAAAGCTTTGGTCCTTGGGATAAGCGCATGGTCAGAAGTTCACGTTCTGAAAACTTACTCTGCGGGACTAGGTAGCTAGATTTAGCTCCACTCTGCGCCTTCCTGGCCACGTATATTTCAGACTCCTTCAGGACTAAGAACACCCATGCTCTTGATGCAATAAATGTCTGCCTTTCTCTCTTCGCTTTCCTCGCCCGACGCCCCCTTCTCATATCTCTTTTCTATAGCCACAGTTTGTTGATTTCCAGATTTCCACTCTGGAGGGTGAGGAAGGGGAGAAGGTGGAGGGGGAAACAAGTCAAATAATTCGGAGAGAAATTCCTTATATTGAAATGAAAAAATCACATGTCTTAAAAAAAAAAGACACTCATATACAGTAACAAGATCATCTGTCTATAGTTCTTAAATTTTCTTAATAATGACTTGTTTCATCAGGGCCAGCTCCACCAGGGACGCTCATTTGTCCCTGACAAGACCTCTCTCTCCCCCTTTATGGTCTGGAACATGTGGTTGTTCTGTATCCCACAAAGACGTGAGTTGCTTCTAAGCCTGGGGTGTTTCATAGTGCAGCATTAGTAACTGTAATCGGGTTGTCCTGAATATAATGATGAGGTTGCCCTTTTGGAGTGTGTGACTTGCTTAATTGGATTGGGCTGTAATTGGTGCCATCAAATTCTAGAGACAGAGGCACTGTTGTTTTTCCTTCCTGTCTTTGAGCTGGAAGGGTAATAGTGCACAAATTAATTAATTTTGGTTAGGGAATTTGAACATAGAAGGGCTTTTTATTGAGTAGCAGCATATGTGCTTCTTATAGTTATTTCTTTAGAATTTTTCGAAGAGTAGAACTTAAACTTGCCGATGAAAATGAATGAAGCTTAATGGAGCAAAATGAAATTGAATGTTGGTTGGTCTACAGATAGGAATTTGAAGATATCATTATTGATAAAACCTTGTTGAAAAGATTTTTGTTGTATACATGTCTCTAGAATAGTATGGTATTGTCTTAGCTTCCTATGAATGGAGAGCATATCTTTAATTAATCTTTTGAACATAAGAAAGTGTCTAGAGTATGAGATAATCTGTGATAATCATTTAAGAGAGATCTTCAAGAACCTCTTATTTTGGTGGTAGGATGAACATGGCTTATTTAGAGCTTTTTTTTTTAAACTACCATTTTCTTTCTCACGTAAGTGTGCCCGAATAATTAAGTTCCTTCTCATTTGGATCATCGTACACATTGTGTTAAGTTACTGTTTTCAGTGTGTTTCTTAACGTAGTGTTTCCCAGACAGGTTTGATACTTGTACTCATCCAAATGACTTGTTTTCATTTTCCTTTTCTTAAAGTGAGACTCCATCATTAAAAGTCTTTTCTATTTCTTTTAAACGCTTCACTTGATTGTTTATCTACTTTGGGTGCAGTTATTTCCTCCCATATTGAAAAGTGCTGTGCTAAGTAACTGAACTGATAAGCCAGGTCAATAGCTGTCCAAGAATGTCCTATGACTGTGGGTGATCGAGTCATCGAAATATTTGTGAAAATGCAGATTTGTAGGGCTCAGGATATCTTACACATCCTAAAGTTTAAGAATTACTAGCCCAAACACAAATCAGTACCGATACCAATTAGTTTCTGAGATTTATTGATATAACTTAATTTTTAGGATTTTTCTTTAAAAAAAAAACCTATGATATTGATCAACACATCTACAGGTGTGCCAGCAACCTACTTTGCACATCTGGCTGAGCGTGTAGGAATAGGTGTAAGCAGTTATTCATTTTGTCTGCAGCTGTTCACACTGAGGTCCACAAATTGAATATACGGGATATTTGCACTGGATATTTGCTCACTCTCTTTACTCATACTTTTTCATATTTGCTAATACTGTCTTATTTACCCACCAAGATCCAAGTGCCAGTTTAGGCCTTGAGAGTCAGTGGTTCTTTTTTAAAATGTTTTTATTTACTTATTTTTAAAATTCTAGTGTAATTATCATACAGCGTTCTATTAGTTTTGGGTCTACAATATAGTGATTCATCAGTTCTATACATTACTTAGTTCTCATCATGATATGTGTGCTCTTAATCTGCACCCCCCGTATCACCCATCCCCTCACCCACCTCTCCTCCGGTAACCATCAGCTTGTTCTCTATATTTAAGAGTCTGTTTTTTATTTGTTTATTTGGATTCTTAAATTCCACAAATGAGCGAAATCTTCGGTATTTGTCTTTCTCTGACTTACGTACTTTGTTTAGAATAATACTCTCTAGCTCCATCCACGTAGTTGCAAAATGGCAAAGTTTCATTCTTTTTTTTTTTTTTAAAGATTTTATTTATTTATTTGACAGACAGAGATCACAAGTAGACAGAGAGGCAGGCAGAGAGAGAGAGGGAAGCAGGCTCCCTGCTGAGCAGAGAGCCCGATGCGGGACTTGATCCCAGGACCCTGAGATCATGACCTGAGCCGAAGGCAGTGGCTTAACCCACTGAGCCACCCAGGCGCCCCAGTTTCATTCTTTTTTATGGCTGAGTAATATCCCATGACATCTACATCTTTCTTATCTACTCATCTATTGATGGACAGACACTAGGTTACTTCCATATCTTGGCTAGTGTAAATAGTGCTGCGATAAACACAGGGGTGCATGTATCTTTCTGAATTAGTGTTTCCATTTTCTTTGGGTAGAGAATCATTTGTTCTTAGTTGATGTGAGTTAAGGATCATATGAAACCTGCATGCTTACCCAGCATCCATCACTTTTTAAGGTGATGTTTTGGAGATCTTGTTATTAAGGCCCTAGCATAACAGACAGTTTTTCTTTCTCTGATAGATTTTCATCATTTACTAGATCTTTGCTTGTAATTCACAAAGAACTCTGTTTTCTTGCTGGGGAGTGATCCATGGTGAGTAATCTGTCCTGTGGTATTTTTAGGTAAAGTCAACTTCTTGTATCCTAAGCTTGATATAAGGAAGAGCTCAGAGCTTTGATTAATAACTTGAGATTCCCCAATTTTAATTCGTTAGTATTACACTTTTTTAGTTCCATTCTCTAAGGAAAAGTGTATTAATAGGTGTATGATATGGACACTGGCAAATGTTCCCCCCCCCAACCCGGCCCAGTTCCTCTCACCTAGTTTTAATGTACAGTTTTCCAACTTTGGCAGTTCAGTTACCAGAGGAAGTGCACGAGAAAATTGATAAAGGAAAATGAGACAATGTCATGGGCCCTCCTCCCCCCTTCAGGGTACATAGATGAACTGTATAGAAATCTCTCTTCGTGGTATTCATTAGTCAGCAATTTAGTCAACTGTGTGCATCCTATGCTTTATAAGAAATGTCAGTGGGTCCTTTCCCAAGGGAGTGAGATCATCAGATGAAGGTTCATTTGGTTTCAATGTCCTATATCCTTTTGTAAGACCTTGAAGTTGGCAATGCAGGAAAACAGGAACTCCACCCTAGCTCCATGAATTGCAGAACTTTTGTGTTGGTTTATGACCATCTGCCCATTCTTCCTGTTATGACACAGTTTGTGAACTTTTACTGGGAATGGTGAAAAGTAAATTCACAGTTTTACACAATGAATTGCTGAAGAGGCCTTTTAAAGTATAGAGTGTGCATTGTTTATGGAAGGTGTTTCCTATTGGGTCTGACTCAGTGGCAACCATATTCATTTATTTAATTTGTTTCTAGGTTTGCCTAGTGTTTCCCCTGATCCACCTAGACTCAGCATACAGAAAGACATACTTACAATTATGGCTAATACAACTCTTCAGATTACTTGCAGGTAAGGATTCATTTTACATTCAGATTTCCTATGTTAAGTAACTCCTTTTTTATTGAGGGAAAAATCTACATAAGCAGAATTGTAGTAGAGTTGTAGTCATTGTAAGTAGTGAGGTTTTTAATAAATGATTTAATAATGAAAAATGAGAAAGCTCTTCTTTCAGAAATTTTGTATGATTTTTCTGGAATTGTTTTCCTGCTCCTCTCTGCCCCCCCCCCTTACAGTAAATAGTAGACATTTGATAAATATTGAATAAATAAGTGAAATTGAGGATTTTCCCTCTTACCTTTAAGGGATGGAGTTGAAGGAGTTTGGGACCATATTTGTTATAATCAGAATGGCTCTTGGACATTTGTTTAGCCCTTGCCAGGAATTTTACTTTCTGATGAAATTATGGCTGTAGTAGCAGTTTGATATTCGGCCATTAATATTACTGAGTGCATGTTCTGCACAGGTAATGGACTTCATGCTTTGACTTGATGTTCTGGAATTTTGCTAGCAAGATTTGCTAGCAAGAAGTCGTGCTATTGATTTTTTGCTAACTGGGGAAGCCGAGTTCTTTGAAAGGGAGAACCATTTAGATTTTGTGTCATAGCCCCAACCCCCAAAGGAAAGGTAGAAGACTTGGGGGTTTAATGCAGTGACCTGGAGACTTCTCAGGAACCTCTCAGTGTGTCTTTGGCAGAGATGTAGGGAGGTGATATTGCCCTCTGATAAGAGAGCCAGGGGTCCACAGAGAACCTTGGTCAGCTTACTGCCATCGCTTACACTTGATGAACACCAGTGGTCAACATGACACAGATCTATTTCAGACTGTAGACTGCAAAGGATATTCTCATCCCCTTATCAAGGGTAGGTAACCCATATCCAGCCCTTGGGAAAAGACATAGTAATTGTGCTATTTCTCCAGCTTTGCTATCTGAAGACACATTTCTTAGTGGATTTTCCTCTTACCCATCTTCAATAACAGAGGGTATTTAAAATCCCCAAAGATCCCATACTTCCTTTTAAAACTCATTCAAAAGAATTTTTTAGGTCCTGGAAAAGCCACAGAGTGTGTTAAGGTAACTTTGCTCATGTAGCTGCAACTTTGTGGAAAGTTCAGTTCTTCAAAAGAAGTATCAATGATGTTGCCTTTTTTTTTTTTTTTTTAATGTGGACTATCTTTCTTAGGGCTTTGCAGGGAAATGCGGCAATGAAAGTAATCTTTGTTTGAATGCAGTCTGTATAAGGTTCTGTGAGGCTCTGAAACAATTGCGCCCTCTTCCTTCTGAAACTCACTTCTTATTTTCCTGCCTGCCACTGTTACCTGACTACTCTGGCTTCCTTGACATTCCCCTGATACTCCAGATACTCCTGTCCCAAGGCACTTACGTTTTCTGTTCCCTCTGCCTGGAATACTGTTCTTCCCTGTGTTTATATAGCTTCATCAAGCCCCCTCCCTCCAGAACTCTTTACTCTTTGCATATTCTATATTTTCTCCACAGTACTTATCACCACCTTACACTTTACTTACACCATAAATTTTACTAAAAAAAATTCAGCTTCATTGAGGTTTACTTACTATTTCATTGCCTGTTTCTTTTAACTAGATTGAAGTTCCATAAAGGCATTGGTTTTTGTCTGATTTGTTCATTGTTCTGTCCCCAGATTTTAACAACACTTGGCACATAGCACCTGCTTAAGAAATATTTGTTGAGTGAATAAGTTAATTAGTAGAAAGCTCAGGAATTCTTATAAGTGGTGTCTGAAGCTGAGTTTATGGCTTTTTGTCATTTGTCCATTCAGTCTGTCATTGGTAGAAGGCTGTGAATCTATCTGTTGAGTTTATATAAGTTTGAGAAACAAACCTTCTGTTTTCTTAGAAATAGCCTCATAATATGGCATTACACATGATTACTTGCCTGGAATTAATTTTTCAGTGGAGAGAGGGACTTGGACTGGCTCTGGCCCAACAATCAGAGTGGCTCTGAGAAAAGAGTGGCAGTGACTGAGTGCAAGGACAGCCCCTTCTGTAAGATGCTCACAATCCCAAAAGTGACTGGAAATGATACTGGAGCCTACAAGTGCTTCTACTGGGACACTGACAGGGCCTCAACCATTTATGTCCATGTTCAAGGTAAGTGGTTACATCAAACTCATTTCCTAAGCTGATTTACCAGGTATAAAACACCACAGGCAGAGAAGAATCAAGGACAATGGAGTGTGACAAAACGCTCGCTCCAAAGGCTGTTTGCCAACAGGAATACACAAGTTCTTTTCTCTCAAGGTTTCCTCTGAGAATCAGATTCATTGCTTTGTCCTGGAACTTGGGCCCATTACATCTCTTGCCCAGTTAGTGTGGTTCTGCTCTTTGTTTCTAAGGGAAATCTGTGTTCACAATTGGCTATGGGGATTTATAAAAAGCTTTCTGATGTTTGAGAAAAAGAACCTGAAATCCTTGAAAAGGGAGGTTCAAGGGTGCGTTCCGGAGAGGTTTCTGTGGAGAGATAGGTTATCTACAACAGGGTAGGAGATTTTCTCAAGAATGTCCAGGGAAACAGCCAAGGGCTCTGGAGCTTTTATGTACATGAGAACTTTTCTTTTCCTACTTACACTTTGTGAAAAACAATTTCCATCCTCTTGTGCAAATGAAGATACTACCTCAAAGGGCTTTTTGAGGACAGTGTTTCTTTCCTTTGCTTGTGTGGTCTGAGGTATTGGATGATATACAACATCTTTCTAGAGTTTGCAATTTGGGATTGACACCATGGAGGTCAATTTAACATCCATGTAGAATAAAACACAATGTTACACGTATTTAATATGTACAATATAAATTATTTTCCTTTAGTGTTTCAAAAATCTTATACTATGTTAATTTTCCTGTGGAAACCCGACCTGAATGATGATAGTTATAATTCTGTCATACAATTTTGGGGAATGTTAGTGTTACTAACATTAGTACTAATTAACAGTAATTAGTACTAATTAGTTAGTACTTTGCTTGGGTATACTAAATATTTTTCTTTTTAGTGAAAATGAGCTGTTTAGACATTTTATTTATACATTTGTATAAATTTTTTGCATCCCAGAGGATTTGAGGCAGGTGAAGATGGCTTAGACTTTTTTCCAGAAGCATTTTGGATATCTCCATTTACACATCAATAGTGCAATATGGCCAGTGCTGTGGGAAAATGGAGACTACATCAAAATAACGTATGTCATTCCTGGACTGCACAATATTTGAGAATTTTTTTTGCCCAGGATGAGCACAGTCCAAGATGGAATTCTGTGCCCTCCTCCTTCCTCTGCAGAATTTGAAAGAGACAAGGCTCAGATCTTCGAGAATTTCTGGCTCCTTTTGATCTGGCAGTCTTGGGAGATCAGACTTTCTCAGAAGATTGCAAGGATTTCCTGCTTTTAGCCTGTCTGGAAATACTACAAGATGAACCTCTCCCATAGTATCTCGTTATTTCCTTCTCCCCAAGTCAGGAAACCTGAAGACATGTGAAAATTCATTTCACGAGTTACAGTAAATATTTTATTTTGAGAGGATGGGTGGTTGTTTGGGTTTCTTTTGTTTATTTCCTTTTTTTGGAATACTGAAATAGAACTGATTTACTGACTAGCTTTAGTCTTACGTAAGAGGTTAACTTAGCTTCCAAGGACTTGTTCTGTAAGGAAGCTTGGTAATATTTCATAGTATGTGGATGAAAGTAGGTAATATTCAGAAGTAGCAATCCCTGGCACTGTTTATTTATGCATTGCCTGTCTTTGGGTATACCATTAAATTCTGCTTCCTGTCTAAGCCTAATGTTCTAGGAGATGAGCTGTCCAAGATTTTTGTCATGAGGTTTAACAATGAGAAAGAAAGCACTGAAGTATTCCTTATGGACGGCCCTTTAATGTCCCTTCTGGTCCCTACCTTGCTTCCTTAGTCTTCTGACCCCATTCCCTCCAGCAATGGATGGAGCCAGGAAGTAGGTCTTGGCCTCATAAGATAATGGCTATGGCATGTGGTGGGCTGGATTGGCTGCCTTTCTGTGCTTTCCAGCTGGGAAGGAAATCAAACTTCTGCTGTTGCAGGGAATTAGCTGCCTTTCTCCCTTTGGTTTAATTAACTCTTTCTTTAGTTTGACCAGACATCCTGAAGAACTCTGGAAATGCTCGATCAGGTGTGTTGGGCATAGCAGTCTGAATCATTATCTCTGTGAGATTTCAAGTACGATTTCACAGTACAGCGACTCTGTCTCTGGGGAGTGGACTATTTTTCCAGAGGTGTATTCACATGTAGGAACAATGTTTGAATGGCATTAAAATCTCTTTTGTTTTCTTCTCACTTTTTGCCATGGGTTTTTTTTGAGTTTTTATCATTGAAGATTTAATGGTTGCTGAATTTTAAACTGAACTCAAAACCACTGATCATTATTTTATAAAGAATCTCATACCTAGTGCTCACAATCTTAAAATACCGACATCATTTTTTTTCTTGAATAATTGAATCAAAAAGTTATTTTCTGCTTATTTTAAAGATCCTTTGGAATCCATTGCTTTATTTTCATGGCCCTTGGACATTATTTGCTTAAAAAGAGAATATGCTTTTTTTTTTTAAGCATCAATAAAATTCAGTAGGTAAAGTACAGATTTAACTTCAAAATTAATTTAAAATTTAAAAAATTACTTTAAATTAATGTACTTGAAAAATATTTAGTGTCTGTGAAGAATGTACATGTGTATATGAAAATGTATATGAAAAATGAAGTATGCTTCTTCATTTTGAAAAAAATTATAATGATCCATCTGTTTCAATGTGGAACCTATAAAATATATTCTACTTGTTGATGATCCTAATGAAAAGAGTCAATTTCATTCTAGGGGTTTTCTTTCAGATTTTCACACACACACACACACACACACACACACACACACACACACACACACCCTTTCTGCAGCATATCTTTGGAACCAGAGATCTACCAGCGGACCAGTCTGTGGATTCCTTTGCCTGCTGTGAAATGTCATTCTCAACCATTTGCTTCTCTGGTTAGAGTTTATGAACTGGAAGCAAAATCAACTTTTCAGTAAATGCCATTAACTAAGGGAATTAATTTTTCTTCCAGATTACAGATCTCCATTTATTGCTTCTGTTAGTGACCAACATGAAGTTGTTTACATCACTGAGAAGAAAAACAAAACTGTGGTGATTCCATGTCTTGGGTCCATTTCCAACCTCAATGTATCACTTTGTGCAGTAAGTTACATCTTTTTCAAACATTTCTCATGTTTTCATAAGGTTAAGGTGGGTAGCCTATATGTAATATATTATCAGCCATATGTTTTAAAGATCCTCTGGGAAGGGTCAAAATGATAATAAAACCAGTTTATATTCTTTAGTGATGAATTCTTTAGTGATCATTTTACATGATTTTCACTTTTGGATAGCACTTTATTCAATATTTGATATTTCTTTTCTACCCAGAGGTATCCAGAAAAGAGGTTTGTTCCTGATGGTAACAGAATTTCCTGGGACAGTAAGAAAGGCTTTACTATCCCCAGCTACATGATCAGCTATGCTGGCATGGTCTTCTGTGAAGCAAAAATTAATGATGAAAGTTACCAGTCTATTATGTACATAGTTGTGGTTGTAGGTAAGTAGACAGTTTCTTTCTGTATCATTAAATCAGACATTAAAGACTAGCTTCCTATATTAAGATCCTGGAGATTAAGGTACTGGGTGAAGGACAAAGGATACTGAAAAATATATTAATTCAAGATCTAGTGTGGAGCAATCCGTTACATCTACTCTTCTCTACTAAATAAACCTATGCACAATTGAGTTTTTCTATTTTCTTGCCAAAAGCAAGGATGGAAAAGAGTGTTATTATTGGAGCATATTTTATGGAAAATTCAATGTTAAGAACATTGCTTGGCATCAGTTCTTTTAATTATACCTATTTTATGGAAAGCTCTATAATTTACTAAGGATGGCTTTGTTGGCTATTGAGTATTCACAAATGCTGCTTTTCTAGCCACTGAGCTACATCTTTGAGATGTAGTTTTGCTTTGTAAGTCTCTGTAGTTTTGCTTTGTAAGTCTCCGTAGGCCATTTTGCTGGGAAGTACCAAGTATTGGTGAGGCCCTCAGGGAAAAAAGATGTGGCACATTTTGAAATTGCATCATTTTGAAAAAATACATGCTAAGTTATAGATTTGTTTTCTCTTTCTCTGTGTTTTCAATTTCCTTGCTCCAGGGTATAAGATTTATGATGTGGTTATCAGCCCCCCTCTTGAAATTGAGCTGTCTGTTGGAGAGAGGCTTGTCTTAAACTGTACAGCAAGGACTGAACTAAATGTGGGGATTGATTTCAACTGGGAATACCCTTCTTCGAAGGTAACACTAACAATGCAAAGCCAGGCCTCTCAATACTTTGATAATAAGCGCAATGGAGTTGGCTTGAGAGATAGGGACCTCTCTGGCCAGATAAAATGTAAGGCCCTTAACTCTCTCTCTCTCTCTCTCTCTCTCTCTCTCTCTCTCACACACACACACACACACACAGTTTAAAAGAACTGCAGAACATATAGCATCCATGGAAAATGAATGCAATGCCAAGAACTTGGTCCCACTCTGCTACCATCAGGCTGTGAAGATGAATTTTCTCTAGGTTACATCTTTTCAGATTGCATTATTTCTCTGTGGTCCAAAGTCTTTGTTCTGTTTTCCCTCTAAGGGAATTTGTCTTCAAGAGAGGGCATAAAATCTACTTCTCCTTAAGCAGTGGTCGTATTTGCTTGTGTTTCTGCAGTACATATCCATCTCATCTTTAAAAACCTTAATTCAATTGGTCCCATTTATTTCTCCTGAAACCAAATATATTGGTTGTCTAGATGTTATGAAATGTTCTGAGGTCCCTTATTTTTGGCATGAATAGTTTTCTCCAAGGGCCAAGGCTTGATCTTGTGGGTATCTAAATGCTATCAGGTAATGTTGTGCTGGACTTTGAAAGTTCAGTGAACTTTTTTTTCAGCATCGGCATAAAAAAGTTGTCATCCGGGACCTAAAAACCCAGTCTGGGAGTGAGATGAAGAAATTTTTGAGCACCTTGACTATAGATGGTGTAACCCGGAGTGACCAAGGGCAGTATATCTGTGCAGCTTCCAGTGGGATGATGACCATGAAAAGCAACACATCAGTCAGGGTCCATGGTAAGCTAAGATTTCCTTCGGAGTTATTCAGTGCCTTGGAAAGTGAGATAATTTAAATAAATTTAGGTTGGCTAGTGATTCCTACTTTGTTCATTCAGAAGATATTTTTGAGCTCCTGCTTAGGGAGACCATATGACCTAGAGGCCAAAAGCACAATTTGGGTTCAAATCCCAACTTTAATAATGAGGTGAGCTGATACAGTAAGCACTTACTAAGTTTTACTTATTGTGATTGTTGTTGATGCTATGATTAGTAGGATAATAAGCAAAGTATTATGATCTAAGATAGTTTAAAATTTTCATTTTATGGCAAAGCTGAGAGGCCTGTGTTTATTCATGGGCTTTGTAATTGGGGAGGCCTGGATTTAATTACTGTCTTTGGGGCTTTGAACAAATAACCTAAGTTCTTATTTATTCTCTTCCACTTATAATGATGTCACATAATAACACATAAATATCTCAGTTTAGGTGATAATTCATATGGCACCCAACTTATAGGCCTTGGTAAAGATTTTGGATTTTATAATATGGGAATTCATAGAAGGGTTTGAGCAGAGACATGCTCTGGGTTTATGTTTTTGTAGGATTACTATGTATTTTTTGAGAAATACTTTAGGGAAGTAAGGGCAGAAGTAGGGACACCAGTGGGGGGCTAGTTGCAGGCATCCAGGTGAGAGATGACGAGTGGCTTGGGGAAATGATCTGATTCTGGATATATCTTTTGAAGATAGAGCCAGCAGGATCTGCCTTTTGACTCAGTGGCTGTGGGGGGTGGGGTAAGAGAAAAAGAACAGAAGATGATTTGAATCAATGTGATCTAGTGAGCAAATGGTGGTTTTATTTACTGAGAGAGGGAAGACTGACAGGAAAGTAAGATTTGGAGAAACAGTGTTAGGTCTGTTTATTTGGACATGCCCACTAAGCATCCAAATAGAGATATTTAATATACACACCTTGAACCCAGAGGAGTCAGAGGAAGAAATACAAGTTTAGTAGTAATGTGGATGGCACTTTATGGCTGAGCCTGGAGGAAGGTGTAGCTAAAGAGAAGTGACTGAGGACTGAGTCCTGGGACATAGGGCCGGAAGGGATAGGGTCCCAAGGGAGTAGACAAGGAGCTTCCTAAGGTCCCTGGAGGACTTGGAGAAGGCTTCCCAGAGGAGCAAACTCTTGAGCTGAAACTTGAGCAGTCAGTAGGCTTGCAGTGTGCACCTGGTGAGAGAGGAAAGCAAATGCAGAGGCCAGTTGTGTGGGAGAAGCTGGACCGCGACCAAGGAAAGGAAGTGCGGGGAAATCCCTGCCCCGTGGCAGCTCAGACTCCCCAGATCTTTGACTCTTCACTTGACATGAAAAACTAAACCAAATGACCATTAATAATAAGGTGACATTTATGAGAATAACTATTTTTATTTTCTTCCAGAAAAACCTTTTATTGCTTTTGATAGTAGCATGGAATCTTTGGTGGAAGCCACAGTGGGAGACCGTGTTAAAGTCCCTGTGAAGTACCTTGCTTACCCTACCCCTGAAATAAAATGGTAAGTATTGCAGATAAATGCAAAGCATTGTTCCACCTGAAAGCAAACCCTTAAATTAAAATAATTCTGGGAATTTTTTTCCTCCAAGGTATAAAAATGGAAAACCCATTGAGTCCAATCACACAGTAAAAGGGCAAAAGGAACTGGTTATTACGGAAGTGAGTGAAAAAGATACAGGAAATTACACTGTCATCCTCACAAACCCCATGTCAAAGGAGAGACAGAGCCACATGGTATCTCTGGTTGTGAATGGTGAGTTTATTCAGTTTTCCTTCTCTGCCCAAAATTAATTATAAATAGTACGATTGTATCTTCTTAAACAGCCAGGCCACCTTTCCTTTTCCACCTGTTGCTTCATTCCCATCATGAATAGGCTCCTATTTTTAAAAGTGACCTAGAGCAGTGGAGTTGAAATGGGGTATAGGGCAGTGCGCTCTGGATATGTTTGCTTAAGAGGCCATGTAAATGGACTGTGTGGTGTCAAGTGTGGTATTCACATAGATGACAGGCTTGATGGCTATATGCTGTGAAATAAGAATGCCTACAGGGACAGTTGTTGTACTACCTTTGCTCTTATCTCATGAAATTGTCCTATGAAATTGCACCTGGCATGCAAATGTGCAAGAGTCTTTTTGAATTTTGTGGGAAGCTGCTAGTATGATGCAAAGACAGGTTCCAACTCAGAAAGCTTTTGCAGGTTGACATTGTTGGCTTGTTGGAACTTAATTTTTTTTTCTTAAACAGGAATCTAAGATCTATCGGACTCTGAGGCTATAAAGGGAAGATACTAAGTTTTTGATTTAAGGATGACTTGAACATTGTTTTTCAAACTGAAAGTGTCTGGGTAGGGAATAAAACAGTATATGGTCAAGTAAGTGTAGGAGATATTAAGTCAATGTACAACAGGTGTCTTTATAGCTGCACTTATCAGGACCTCTATTTAATGTGTTCATGTATATTGCCATTCTCCAGGGAAAGACACATAGAGTATTGAGGGTTTGACAAAGATATTTGACCAGAGCATCCCCCTCCCACCCTGGAAATCCATTAATCTCTTGCCCCAAACACAGTTTGGGAAATGCTTTTCTGTTAGAATTCTTTGTTCTCCATATTGGCCTGGCATATGAAACTTCAGGATCTTCTTTTGTAAATTAAAGTGTTTCCCTATATATCCTGCCACCACTCTGTATGTCTGCTGAGCTTTGCTTCATTTCTTTTCTGGGACATCAGCTTCAGGGAGAAAATTTTAAAGGGAAAATGTTCCAGAAATGTCACTCAGAAGCCACTTGGGAATCAGACATTGGGGAATGGTGAGAAGCTGGAAAGCTAATGAGTAGGGTAGGGAGAAGAAAATGAACACAAAATAAAGATGTAAAAATGGACATTGTATATAACCCCATCTCAAGAATTCATGAAGTCACTAAACATTTGATTCACCCTACCGTTTACCCTGCTATATAAGATAAATATAAAAAGTCACAATTTGAGAGTATAATTTGAGGCTTTAAGTTGATAGCAATGGGGGAATAGTTTTGCATTAATGACTTTGGAACCAGAAAAAGAAAAAAAAAAAAAAGGAAAGAGAATAAAAGTGAGAAAGGGGGAGGGGGGAGGGAAGAAATGGAAGGGAAGGAGGGAGAGAGTGTGGAGGGAAGGAAGGAAGGAAATGGAAGAAGAGGAGGGAGAAGGAAGAGAAGCAGGTTACCTTGGGCAAGTCATTTAATGTTTCTGTTTCATTTTTCTCCTGTGTAATTAAGTGAATTAATCTATGCAGAGCACTTATAACAATGGCTAGCACTTAATGAACGTATTTGCTGTGCTAGTCACAATGAGTTTCTTTCTTTCTGATCTTTTGAGATTGCGAGCACAAGGAGAGTTATCCCTATCATGCAGACTGAGAAAAACTGAGGCAGACGGTGGACAGACTTGCACACAGTCCTCCACTTATGAGGATGATGGTTATCACTAGAAGTCATATCTCCCATGTCGCAGTCTAGATGTTCTTTGAAAAAGAAAAAGAAGGCAAAATCATATGCTTGTAGAAACATAGGCTTCAGTTCATGAAAACTTCCACTTTCTGTTTCTCAAAGTGGATTGAAAATTAAAATGTGGCTTCCCCCATGTCCAGTCCCACCGCAGATCGGTGAGAAGTCCCTGATCTCTCTGGTAGATTCTTACCAGTACGGCACCACACAAATGCTGACATGCACGGTCTACTCTGTCCCACCGCCACATCACATTCGCTGGTATTGGCAGCTGGAGGAGTGCGCCTACAAGCCCTTGTGAGTAGCCCACATCCTCTTTTTCCTGCTGTTGTGCATTTCTTACAGCTACACTGTGGTATAACGCCATTCCACCCCGAGAAGGCCATTCCTAAGAAAGTTATGCCCCAAGTTATACTTTTATCCTTCCATCTTTCTCCATGTCTTATGTTTTAGGACATGTCTTTCCGTGGGGTGTCCCACCTTGAGATCAGCTAGCTTTCTCTTCCTAACTTAGCCCTGGCGCAGACCTCTCCAAACACAGGCTCTTTGCTCACTTTGCCAATTGCTAATCTTTGGTGTTTTTCCTTATGCCAGTCAACTGGTGAATACCGCTCTCTCTCCTTCTTATCTGGGAGAAGGTCCATCTCAGAGGAAAAGCTGGTGGATATGAGGGAGCTACAGACCCGGCTGCAGCCTTTGGATTCTCAGGCCCAGCTTATCAGGTTCTCACACAAGTCCAGACATCCTTAGGAAGACAAAACAACAAGCCACCCACTACCACCCCGAGCAGTTCACTTCCTGTTGTTGTTTTTGAGATGGCCACTACTAGTTTCTTCCTCAGATGCTGACCATTTCCTACACAAAGGCCACGGTCCCAGGGAGATTACTTTAAGAAGCCCAATGACTTCTTAGTTTCCTTGTCTTCCTTTGAACTAAATTAACTTGAATTGTCTTGTCGATTCAATTTATGAATGGAGGTTTGTTCCCAGAATAACTGTTTCCCTCCTGTATCCTGGAAGAATCTACCTAGAACCTTTTCCTTCTTTGCTGAGGCCTATTTTTAATTGGCACCAAATCGTGTAATGCGGTAGGATGCACTGAAAGTTATTTCTAAGAACATAAGAACCAACCTTGGACGCCTTTCCTTGCTGTGGATTTGAACTAAAGAAAAATTAAGTCATAATAAAAGCTGTTATTTCTTCCTTATAGCCATGATGCCTTAATGACAAGCCCACGTACTTGTAAAGGATGGAGAAATGTGGATGACTTCCAGGGGGGAAATAAAATTGAAGTCAACAAAAATCAATTTGCCATAATTGAAGGAAAAAACAAAGTGAGTTCGAAGTTCTTTAATTTGAAAGTCTCTCTCTCTTTCTTTCCTGGAAGGATAGAAGGATGGAATGGAAGCATGAGGTCAATCTTATGTGAGGGATATCGGAGATGGATAGTCACATTAATTGTATGATAAAATACTAACGTATTAAGTTAGTTTGAAAACACCACTGACTTTTAGAAGTGCCATTGACTTAATAATATCTGACCAGAGGATGGTAAAACACATGTGCCGTTAAATCTGTACATCTGTTGTAAGGTGATTCTGATTTTACAGATACAGAAATGAGAAAATGCATACAGTGTTAAAACACTTTATTTCCTTTTCGTTTTCCAGTGTCTGTTTTGTGTAATGCATGAACCACACAAGCGTAATTATAATTGTGTGGATTTGAGAGAGGTCAGTGCAGTAGTATGAATGGAGTACACAGGTCTCACAGGTTGAATTTTAGTCTGAATTCATGTGCATAAACACAATCTTCCTTGCTTATGGCCTGAGTTTTCTTTTTTTTAAATTTTTAAATAGACTGTAAGTACCCTTGTTATCCAAGCGGCAAATGTGTCAGCTTTGTACAAATGTGAAGCCATCAACAAAGTTGGGAGAGGAGAGAGGGTGATCTCCTTCCATGTGACCAGTAAGTACCACTCTGTGTGTGGGGTGGGGTCTCTCACCAGCTGGGTCTCTCACCAGCTGGGCTCTAAGCTCTCTGATACTCTGTGGTCCTTGCCATTCCTGAGTGGCATGGTGTTTCAGGAGAGGGCTTGGACTGATTCTGGGTGCTTTTGTTCGTAATTGAAGACTCCTCCGCTAGCTCTTGGGCTCATGTGAAGTCAGTGCAAATGACACTCTCATTCCCTCAGGGGAGAGAATGGTTTCACATTGTTTTTAGCCACAAGTTCTACATCATAATCATGTCTCCACCATCCAAGTGTAACACAGCACTTGGCTTCTTGGGGTTCCTTCAGGGGGCTTGGTGCTGAACAGTTGACAGCATTGAGTTTTCTGGAGGGAATTATAATGGCATAGGGACAGTTTCCTCCCAATGCTGCTGATTCTGCCTGTTCATCTCAGTTTTATGGATAAGCTTTAGCTGACTGGGCTAGGTGAAAGAGTTCAGTCTGAGCTAATTTGTTTTCATAAATAAAGCTTTAATGTCACTGAGTGTGATTTGTCAATGAGGAACTAAATTTTTAAAGTTCCATGTTATAATTATCTGCTTTGAATATGTTTTGGATTTTTTTTTTTTTTTCAATCTCAAAAACTGCGTTTAGAGCTCAAAGTGGAGATTTGATGTCTATCTGTGGACTGCATCTTGGTAAAATAATACATTTTGGGGCCAGAATTTTCTAGTTTGATTGTTTCCTTGTATTACATTGCCTGGGATTGCTAGAGCTTCACTTTTCTTGACGCTTTATAGCAGCCTGAAGACAACAAGGAGAGAATCGTGCACTGCCCAAATTAAATCATCATTTTCTAACCATGGGTTTTATATTTCAGGGGGCCCTAAAGTCACTTTGCAACCTCATGCCCAGCCAACTGAGCAGGAGAGTGTGTCTTTGTGGTGCTCTGCAGACAGAACTATGTTTGAGGACCTCACGTGGTACAAGATTAGCTCACAGGCTCTGCCAAGCCATGTGGGAGAGTTGCCCACACCTGTTTGCAAGAACTTGGATGCTCTTTGGAAAATGAATGCCTCCAAGATCTCTAATGGCACAAGTGACATTTTGATCATGGAGCTCCAGAATGCATCCTTGCAGGACCAAGGAGACTATGTGTGCTTTGCCCAGGACAGGAAGACCAAGAAAAGACATTGCGTGGTCCGACAGCTCACGGTATTAGGTAGGGAGGCAATTCGGGGTCATCAAAGACATTTGAATGCCTTCAATGTAGTGCTTCTAGGGACTATAAGATTACTGTCCTATAGGAGCTTATGAAGTAGACTGGTGCACAGTTACCTATTCACTGAGGGTTCTTGAGGCAGAAAGAGGTGAATAGTGGTGAAATGATGTATTAAAGAGAGAAAATAATGTGTTTCTTTCCAGCTCTGATGATAGGATTTCCCTACTGTCTACAAGGGATTAGCTTAAACTGGGAAAATTCCTGCTTCACTCTGGACATTCGTATATTTCAGTAGACACATATCCATGGAATGCCTACTGTGAGCTAAGAAGTTTTCAGAAGTTCACAGTGGTGAGTAGGTAGACGAGATGAGAACGTAGGCAACCACTGGGCAGTCATGGCACACTGAGGTCTCTGTGTCCATGAGGACAGGAATTGTTTTCTGTCTTACTCCTTGCTGTAGCTCGCATCACAGAACATAGTGGCACATACTAGGTGCTCAGTAAGGTGTCTGCCACATGAAGAATATGATTCTGGGGTTGTTTAGGAGCCCATGGGAGTGCTGTTACATTCACTGCCTGTCCCTCTGGGTCATCCTATGTAGTCCAGCATAGAGATCTATGGGATGATCATTTTAATGAGCAGATAGCTTTGTAAATTCCCCAGGGAGCCACTCTCCACACCTCATCTAACCTGTGTCTTGCACAAAAGCTATGTAATCATGCCTCTGTCCCTGGGAAATTGGACAAATTTAGGAAGATCTCTTTGTGTCCACTTTCTCCATTTTCTCCTCTCTTTAGTGTGCCTTCCCAATTTCTGGGAGACATGTGTTGTCTGATTTTACTCTTAAGAAGGGTAACAAACAGCCCAGGTGAATGAATCTATACCAAGGTTTTAGAGGAATAATATCTTCCTCAGAGGGCTTGGCATATTTTAAGAGGCATCTTCAGACAGACTCTAGGATAGTGTTTGCTAGTGTTAAGACTTAGATGTTAAAAGAAGGAAAATTTTTGGGTGAAGTCATTCCCAGGGCCCTTCTTATCATATCACATATATGACCATGTGTTTTCTGTTCACCTTGGTGACCAGTCTGGTTTCAAAGTAATAGAAGAATTCAGAAAGAGACGTGAAGGAGGACATGCCTGGGAAATTTGTGCTCACATTGAACTGGTTTGCTTCTCTAACAACTCCCAAGTTATTTTCCTAAAATTATTCTTAGAATAGACTAGAGCCCAGGACATTTGCTTAAACCCCAATGTAGTTCACCACTGAGGTAATCTCATTTTGTTAAATATTAAAGTGGATCCTTTCAGCAAGATTCCTTTTGATTGCTTTGGACAAGATATTTCTACAAACCTTTGATGGAAGGGCAAATCTCAAGTTTTGCTGTACATTGAAAGAAATACCCATGGGCTTAATTTTCTTGAAACCTTTGACTTTCTTTAGGGATGGTTGTCTTTCTCATTTGTGTTTTAGTGGAAATGGCACTGGACTAGTCCTTTAGGTTTGCCAGATTCTATTATTAGTTCAAACACTTACTTAGTTACAGGGACTTGGGCAATTTGCTTACCTCCTGAATTGCAGTTTTTTTTTCATCTGTGAAATAAGATTAATATTATTGTCCATTCTAAGATTGATAGAGAGCAACAGAAATAGTATAAGTGAGTTTTGTAAAAAGTGCCAAATAAATATAAGGCATTCTTTGTTGAATTACACTGAAGTTTCACACTTTCCAAGAGAAACATGGTGGAATTCATGGGTGTCACTGGCTAGAACTTTCATGGGAGGGAAAGTTTCTCTTTGGGGAAGCTGAGTCTAATTAGAGGAAAAAAAACATAAAAGTGACAACCTTTATTTCGTGATGTGACAACCAGTTAGAATCACTAATAGGAATGTTCAAAGAGATGTAGTGATCTATCTCAACCATCCTGACTTATTCCATTTAACTTTACTCAGTGACCAACGGTACTATCATCAACTTCTGTGTATTTGCAGTTTAGTAAATCAACAGCCTACTGCTTATGAAGTTTACACTGTTTATTAGTTTACCGATGCTAAAACCATTTCAAAAGTTATAACTAAATGTGTGATTTTTGTGTGTGTGTGCATAGAACGTGTGGCACCCATGATCACTGGATTCCTGGAGAATCAGACTACAAGCATTGGTGAAACCATTGAAGTTTCATGCACCACGTCTGGGAATCCCCCTCCACAAGTTACATGGTTTAAAGATAATGAGACACTTGTAGAAGACTCAGGTGAATAAAATATGTCTCTCTCTCACTGGTTGCAGAATTTTCCTGGAGACATGCCCTAAACCCCACATTATGTCTTGATTTGTTTTAGATAGTTAAAAAAAAAAAAAAAAAGCAAATTAGTGTCCATGATCTGGCTCATTTTCTAGACTCCGAATTAAAGTATTTAGAGCCTTGTTGAATTCTCAGGGAAGCTGGGGGTGATGAGTCAGCAATGTATCCTGTACCACTCTTTGGAATTAGACACTAGTCCAAGGAAAGGACACCATTTATATTTTTAGATTTTTTTTTTTCCTGAAAAACTCCACCAGATCACATCACAAATAGAAACAATTATTTTTCTTATCTCTTAGGTATTGTACTGAAGGATGGGAACCGGAACCTAACCATCCGCAGGGTGAGGAAGGAGGACGAAGGCCTCTATACCTGCCAGGCATGCAATGTTCTTGGGTGTGCAAAAGTGGAGGCATTTTTCATAGTAGAAGGTCAGTGGAGTTGCATGGACACGTTAGGTGGTTTTAAAAACTTAGCTTGTATTGTATATATACTCACTCACTTTGGGTGATTTTTTATAATCTTTGTAGTTTGTATATGTTCTACTCTAAGTACATATTATTTTTTTTCATTTTTTTAATCATTTTTTTAATTTATTTTCAGCATAACAGTATTCATTGTTTTTGTACCACACCCAGTGCTCCATGCAATCCGTGCCCTCTCTAATACCCACCACCTGGTTCCCCCAACCTCCCACCCCCCCACCTCTTCAAACCCTTCAGATTGTTTTTCAGAGTCCATAGTCTCTCATGGTTCACCTCCCCTTCCAATTTCCCCCAACTCCCTTCTCCTAACTCCCTATGTCCTCCATGCTCTTTGTTATGTTCGACAAATAAGTGAAACCATATGATAATTGACTCTCTCTGCTTGACTTATTTCACTCAGCATAATCTCTTCCAGTCCCCTCCATGTTGCTACAAAAGTTGGGTATTCATCCTTTCTGATGGAAGCATAATACTCCATAGTGTATATGGACCACATCTTCCTTATCCATTCGTCCGTTGAAGGGCATCTTGGTTCTTTCCACAGTTTGGCAACCGTGGCCATTGCTGCTATAAACATTGGGGTACAGATGGCCCTTCTTTTCACTCTATCTGTATCTTTGGGGTAAATACCCAGTAGTGCAATTGCAGGGTCATAGGGAAGTTCTATTTTTAATTTCTTGAGGAATCTCCACACTGTTCTCCAAAGAGGCTGCACCAACTTGCATTCCCACCAACAGTGTAAGAGGGTTCCCCTTTCTCCACATCCCCTCCAACACATGTTGTTTCCTGTCTTGCTAATCTTGGCCATTCTAACTGGTGTAAGGTGATATCTCAATGTGGTTTTAATTAGTACATATTATTTTAACCAGAAACCATAACCAATGCCATTTTAATTCTGCTTGGATCACATTTCTTATCCTTGCAGTTCTCGCTTTGGAAAATTCTTAGCCTGACAGGTGGAATACCCACCTTGCCTTTATTTTTTTCTTCATTGAATGGCTCGGTTAACTTGTTGTGGAAGTGATACCCCTGTATTTACTTGGAAAAACATTGGAATTACTGCTCAACCATCAAAATCAATGCTATCCAGATAATCACAAGGGTTCACAGTTTTCCTTGGACTACAGACAATTAAAATTTATTTGTGAACCATAGACCCTTGCTTCTGTGACATGGAATTTTAGTGTGTCTAAATGTGAAAGGAAACTCCTGTATGGAGGAGGGAGGTGAAATCTGGCATTTTCTCAGATGGGAAGGTAACTTGTGACAGGATATTTTCTCTTCAGAAATGTATTCCTATTTTAAAAAATAATCTATCAGGGGAGCAATGAAACTCTATTATGTGGGTGAAAGGAATGGTATGCAAGGGGAAGAAAGAAGGACGGTAACAGAAGGAATAACTGATGAATTTTTATGAACTCATCCTAACTTGTCTCTCAAAGTCTAGATTTTAGTTCCCTTCATCTGTCAAATCTGTTACATCTTGATGACTTGTTTTCCAATTTGTAGGCTTATTACCATTTCATGAACTGCACTTGGAAAAAAGATTTCAAGTGCGTGAAATAAATAAGAATTTCAAGTGTCATGGTGCTTTTGTCACTTCCCAAGGGGCTTCATGTTGAGGGCAGATCCCAGTGGGGACTTCTAGCTCTCTCCCATGCTCTGCCTCACCTCTGTTGGCTGTTTGCAGTGGGCTACCCACAGAGCTTATATTTACTTTGTACCCAAAACGGAATACTAAGAAGGAGAGAGATAGATGTTTAATTCTTCTGTTAAGTTCCCAAATGTTAACATGGGAATATTAACACACTAACTTATATAGACAATTGAATCTTTGAACTTTTTATATGTATAATGGACTTTTAGACCTCTGTGTATAAAAAGAAAATTATTTCGGTAGGACCACCGGGGAAACAGAATCGACTTACGAGCCATGCTTGGTCCTTGGTTCTCACTGTTAGCTCTTACTTGGCTAACTAGTTCATTCCTTGTCCTTCTGCCTTTTTGAGGCTGCCTTGGGCCACTTGAACAGCTTATTTGATTCACACTGCACTCATCCAATGGGAGGCCCTAGGTGATAATTGCTTCCTTATCATCTCTTTGCTAATCACTCCTAGTTGAAAGCCTCCTCTGGCATTTAATTTCTTCCACTCAGAGCTGTCCTCTGGAGCCCTGAGCATCTGCAGCTTTCCTTGCCGACCTCTGCCTTACCTTTCATGGGTGGTTTAAACTCATTTTATCCCCAGGCTATGAGGGATGCTCTCTTCTCAGCTTTCTCTCTTTTCCTAACTCAGGCTCCTGCCACACAAGCGCAGGGTAGTGTGATGGCTAACTGGTGTTGGACAGACTTTGTTTAACTCTTGACCATTCCCCCAACTTGCTGTGTGCCCTTAATGAAGGAGCTTAACCTCCCTGAGCTTGTTTCTCCATCTGAAAGCTGATTGTTGTTGAGAAGATTAAGTGGGATGGTGTATTTAAAGTGATGAGCACCTAGGGGTTGCATGGCAACCAATCACTTACTGGCCACTTGTCTTCTCATATTATCCTTTCTCAAACTCTATACAGATGAAAACAGACTATCTGTGTAAACCAGAGTTTAATTTTCCCCAGAAAGAGGTCACTAGAAATTATTCTAGAACTTACTCTGAATTAAAACATACTTCTTTTCTTCCCTGTAGAATGTGATCTGTTTTCTTTCCATTAAAGTCTCCTCTTCCTCCAAACACTTCATATATTTTTCTTGTAAGACATAAACATTTCAATCCTTGATGTCCTTAATTTCTTTTATTATTATTATTTTTTTAAAATTTCTTTTCAGCATAACAGTATTCATTGTTTTTGCACCACACCCAGTACTCCATGCAATATGTGCCCTCCCCAATACCCACCACCTGGTACCCCCAACCTCCCACCCCCTGCACCTTCAAAACCCTCAGGTTGTTTTTCAGAGTCCATAGTCTCTCATGGTTCACCTCCCCTTCCAGTTTCCCTCAGTTCCCTTCTCCTCTCCATCTCCCCATGTCCTCCATGTTATTTGTTATATAATTTCTATCCTAAACTTTGGAATTTTATCGTTGGAAGTTTTCATGGGCAGTGCTTTGCAAACTTTAATTATCCATTAAGAATGTTATAGACTCCCTCCAACTTAGAGGCTTGTGACTATTATTGTCTAGGATTTTTTTCCAAGTTGGTAAACTTGAGATCTTGCTTTAGTGTAGAACTTTGTCATCTTATATCAAAAGGTATGAGTTTTCAACTGTTGATGCTCATTCAATTTCATCTTTCCAGGTGCCCAGGAGAAGACAAACTTGGAAGTCATTATTCTAGTAGGCACAGCAGTGATTGCCATGTTCTTCTGGTTATTACTTGTCATCGTTCTACGGACCGTTAAGCGGGTAACAAAATAATTTCCCTTCCATCCCATGTACGTTGGTTTTCATGATTAATGAAAGCTGACTGGGGCTCTTTGAGTTGTTTCTTCCCATTGTTATTGGCTCAATGGGCACAATTTTATTTCAATACAATAACATTCTTTCCCACTTTCTTTTGGCTGGACCACTGGGCTTTAATTGATAGAAGCCACTAGAGGAGACAAGGGCTTGGACTGTCTAGTGTAATTAAGATTTAAGTACTTCATTCTGAGCTCATTTGGGGTTGAGGGGACACTGGATACAGGATTATAATAGGACTTACTCTCAAACTTCATGAGTTTTATTTGAGAATGAGACATCAGGAATGGGGCTTCTATAAACAACAATAATAAGCACACAAAAACAACAGCCAGACAACAGAGCGTATGTGACTGGAAGGAATAATGCTTTCCAGGCCAATGGAGGGGAACTGAAGACAGGCTACTTGTCCATCGTCATGGATCCAGATGAACTCCCCTTGGATGAGCACTGTGAACGCCTGCCTTATGATGCCAGCAAGTGGGAGTTCCCCAGAGACCGGCTGAAACTAGGTGTGTTTTCAAGTGGTACTAATTTGATGTTGGGTATACCAGGACTTCTCTTCCTCCTTTAGGATGATGACAAATCTAGTCTCTTCACATGTTGGATCCAGGTTCAGAATATTCATTCTGTCTTTTGAATTTGAGTCATCATCCTTTTAGTCACTTAGAAGTAGGGTCCCTGTACAATTATCCAAAGCAGGACATTTGGAGAGCAGAGGGGGAGGTATTAAATAATGAAGCCACTATAAGGGAGTTGAGCTGGATTCTTCCAAGTTAAACCGGGATGTGTGATGACCCAATCTAGTCGGAATCTCTGCATGCCGCTTTGGTCCTGTCATAGTCCAAGTCTGTTTTGTTTCCTGTTATCGTTGACTGTAGGTAAACCTCTTGGCCGTGGTGCCTTTGGCCAAGTGATTGAAGCAGATGCCTTTGGAATCGACAAGACAGCAACTTGCAAGACAGTGGCCGTCAAAATGTTAAAAGGTAAAGGCAAAATTAAATGATGATATATCCCTCCCTGTGTTTCGTCTGGTCTGTAAACATGATGAAAGCCTTGTGTCAGCACCTTTGTGGTTAGGTGAGCCCACTAGCCAAGCGTGCAGCTGGCTTAGGTGATACCTTTGTACAGATTGGGGAAAAGTTCCTCTTTTATAGCCTCCTGGCAAGGTGCATGGCCTGGCAGGCAAGGTTGAGGATGGGCTGCAGCTTCACCCACTTTCCCAACTTGCCTGAGAGCCCTTGTGCAGGGCATAGCTTATATAACTGTACTTAGTGTCCTGACTATAGGAAAATAATACCTTGGTTATGTAAAGATTGTTTCTTAATTTATTATGATGCATTAGTGAGATGATTATAGACCATGTAGAGACATGGAAAGAAATTTAATAAGTAAAAATAGTAGAGCGCAAAAACATCCTGTTTCCTAGAATTGGAATATGTGAAAGATTTTCTCCTATAAAGATAATGGTTGCACTAGGAAAAAAAAGGACCACAGGTGACATGTTAAGAACTTAAAAGCTTTATGAACAATGGTTAACCCTAATAGTAATGGAATTCTGATCTTGTCATTTTCATCTGGGGAGGTGATGCATCTATAGCTGTTGGCTCCAGGTGTGATGTGCTTTCATGATGAGGGCAGTGCCACAGACCCTTGGCCAGTAGGTCGTGTGCACTTCAAAGTCATCTCTCTCCTTTTGCCTATTCTCCCTTGTGGCGGGGGTGTGCAGTTTTGAGGTGGCTCATCAGGGTCTGAGGTGTGGACCGTGTGTATGAATTAGAGGGAAGTGTACCGGTCTGTGCAGGATCATACTTGCAGTTCTAGCCTCATCAGGCTCTTGTGCCAACTGGCCTTGCCAGCTGGCCCCTGTTAAGTTTCCTGCTTGGCACTGATTGGCGGGAACTTCAGCATAGCCCCTAACACATAAGGGTATTTAATACATGGTGTTGCTTCCTTACCAGGAAGGACTGAAATAATCAGGCCCTAAGAAGCATAGTCAACCTGATATATGAAAATCCAATTTTCTAAGAGAGGAAAATCTGGGCATGATTCCCTTTGCAGATGTAGTCCCCACTTTGCAAAAGACTTCACAATGGATTCCTTTAAATATCAAACATTCTGGGTGCACTTAAAGTAAGGATTGGATTTAGACATGGAAATATAATTTATACTTGACTTTCAATGTACCTAGTCTGTAAATTTGGTTACAGTTTATTATCCCTAGAGGGTAAGTTGCACACATGCCTGCAGTGGGGCACTGATCCTCCTAAGCTAATACCCACATTTATGATTTCACTCTTTGCCGTATATTTGTAGAAGGAGCAACACACAGTGAACACCGAGCGCTCATGTCTGAACTCAAGATCCTCATTCATATTGGCCATCATCTCAATGTGGTCAATCTTCTAGGAGCCTGTACCAAGCCAGGAGGTGAGTATCTGTGGATGGTTCTGGTTGCCTAATGATTTTGGCATATAATTTTCTGCTGGTGTTTCAAGGAAACCACTCAGCTCCCATGGCCTTGATTTCCTTAGCTTAGGATACTTTGCCAGATTCCTAGATATAAATATATTTCATGGAGGTTTAATGGGCACTACAAATTATTCTAGAACTTCCTGTGAATTAAAAAATGCCATCTCGGTATACCGCAGTTTGCTCCTTATGTAAGAGGTTCAGATGAGAAAAGTAAGCTTCTCAAAAAACTTGAAAGCAAAAACCTTAAGAGTAGTTCCCTCTAAAACGAAATCATCTTAAGTGATTGTGTTGAAAAGCAAGTGGTTGGATTTTCTTCTGAAATTTTGGTTCATCTTGCTGCGGGATTGCCAGTTAGTAAAAGAAAAGCTACATTATAAGGGCATTGTGACCAGCTGATTTTGATGATCCTGTCCTGGTGACCGTTTGTAGTGTCCTTCTATGATTTTTCTGGTTCATCCATGTGTTAAACACTTGATGAGATACATGAATGGAAACATTTTCCTTTCTTGACATGCTGTGCTGTCTGCAGGGCCACTCATGGTGATAGTGGAATTTTGCAAGTTTGGAAATCTGTCAACTTACTTAAGGAACAAGAGAAATGAATTTGTCCCCTACAAGGTATGTCGTTGAACTCAGCTCTGACCACATTGTAAAATGGAGGAAAATACAGGTTAATCTTTCTCTGTTAAAATGCTGTGAAGAACTTGTGAGGAGTCTTCTTTTGGTTGTTTTAATTTCCTCTTTTACCTGCTGGGGCACATATCTTCTCATGGTTTGGTTGGTTTTTTGTTTTGTTTTTGTTTTTGTGACTCTAATCTACTGATCCATTAGAGATGGTGCCTAAGGAGGGGAGAGGGTGGGCACGATTAAGGAAAGGGAAGGATGTCTCTGGATTATTTTCTCTCTTTCCTAGCAGGATTTGGTCCCCTGGAGTGTCAGTCCCTTGGTAAAGAGCACCCTAATGTCCTAATGCCAGAAGCATGTCTGGAATAGACCTGAAACAAGATGTTTATCTCTTTAATCTAAAGAAGAAACTAGGCTTTATGGAAGAAAATCTATTATGTAGAACTCTTTCCCCAGATTCTAGCCCAAAGATTCCATATTCCTGAAACTGATGTCCTTCTTATCTGCTTTTAATAGCTATAATTGTTTTCTAGAGATCTCTTTTGTATTCAAGGAGTGTGTCCATTTGCTTCTTTATAGACCAAAGGGGCACGATTCCGTCAAGGGAAAGAATATGTTGGGGAAATCACTATGGATCCCAAACGCCGCTTGGACAGTATCACCAGTAGTCAGAGCTCAGCCAGCTCTGGATTTGTGGAGGAGAAATCCCTCAGTGATGTGGAGGAAGAGGAAGGTATCTGCCATTGCTTTCTCCACACTTAACGTGTACTCTTGCAGGAAAGAGAAGGTGGTAGAGTATTATGAGGAATTCTGTCCTGGGAAAAGTTCAGTACTCCCTAATATTGGGAAGAGACCTACATTTCTAGACTGCTTCCATTCAGTTTTCCCAAAAGTGAGTTGTGGAAGCCCTAACTAAGCAGCTATCTAGATTGTTAGGCAAAGTACGGGGCAAGCCTGAGAAATCCCGGTACCCCAGGCGGGCTCAACAGTCAGCAACAACCAAACTAATGCTTTGAGACTATTGGTTCAGCATCTAGTAGCAGGCGAGCCTCAGTGCTTTGTTCCTTAAGGACAAAGGAGGCTCTCTGATGGTAGATTCGCCTCCACATTGCCCTGAGCAGTTCAGCCCCACTCTGCCTAAGTCACCTAAACTCTTCAAGGCAGTGTAGGGGTTACCTGCTGTTTCTACCCCATTCCAAGGAGCTTATTGAGTCTTTCTTGCAACCGTACTTCCTTAGAGGAGTCCTGGTAAGCATATTTTTCTATATCCAGTTATGCTTCCAGTGATATTTTAGTGTTCTCTCTGAGTAGAGCTGTGTTCGCAGTCTAATTTCCAGGATTTCTTCCAGCTCCTGGATATACTGTCGATCTGCTTCCCTTAGAAGGAGCAGAGACAGCCCCATGGATATAGAGATGGGGCTTTCTGATATCTGGCTCCTCTTGAGGCATGATCTCAGCAGAACCCAGTCATGAAATAGTGAAAGAAACCTGTTTCCTTTTCCCTAGACATGAGGCTACAGATAGAACTTAAATCTGGCTTCTTTCTCTTAGAAGCCAAGCAGGGTGTATGATGTTGGGACTCAGTCTAGAAGAGTATGGAGAAGCCATCTAGACCTCATGTAACTGGGCCCATGCCAAGTGGGGCCCTCTCTGTCTCGTCCTTCTCTCTCACAAAATGGTGGCCAGTGGGCTGGAAACCCAAAGGATTGGGGTACTCAGTTGGAGAAGAAAGGGTGTGGCCTGGAATTTGTCCTCCATTTCTTCATTTGGAAAATGAAAGGGTTTCACTAATTGTTCACCGAGAGCCGTCTAACCCTAAGCTTAAAAAAATCATTGAGAAAAAGGTTCTCAGTCTTTTTAATACTTACGAGGTTATTATTACAAGTGAGTTTTCATTTACTCTGGTATTTGTCTCTAGGAGAGAAGCCATGTCTTATCTTATCTGACCAGAGTTAAGTGATCATGTTGAAACACCCATTAATGTCCTAGTGTTTATTTGTACCAGTTGCATGGAAATAAATACCACCAATTTATGTAAAACCATCTTTCTCTCATGTTCCTGTCACCTCTCATTCATATTCTTGAAGGGAAAAGAGCATCCTTGCAGGCCTGTTTTAATGTGTTTACAGCACTTTCTCAGCTTGAAAGTGAGAGAAGTGAATATATTTCTGATATTTTTAGTTGTCTGTTGTAGATTATAATTTGACCTTTGGCCTTTGTCCCAGGACAAAGTCTGGAGAGAAAAGATTCAATGACCCTGAATATTGTCGTTTTATTTATAGAGTTCTTGATATGAAACTATTGTTTATCCCTCTGGGTACATGAAAAAAAAAAAAAAAACAGTTTAAAACAGCAAACTTAAAAAAGTCCTCTTTTGCTCTCTGCCATCTCTGCCAAATGCACCTCCCTTCTGCCTCCTGGATTTGCTGGTCCAATTGGACCAAGATGGAAAAACCAACATTTTTTGGCTAAGGGGTATGATGAAAGCTAATAATACGAGGATTCAGCAAATTTACAGAAGATACAGGCATTTTTCTCTCCGCTTTTATTTCCAGAAGTTTAACTCCCAAGTGTTAAAATGAAGCTTACTCTAACAAACTTAGAAACGAATAGTTTCTGGGGGCAACACTGATCTCTGTCCTCCTGCATCTTCTGACAGTTTCGGAGGATCTGTACAAGAACTTCCTGACCTTGGAGCATCTCATCTGTTACAGCTTCCAAGTGGCTAAGGGCATGGAGTTTTTGGCATCACGGAAGGTAAGACAGCTCAGAGGGGACCCTAAGTATCTCTTCGGATCACAGATCTGGAAGTAAGATGTCCAGTACCAGCCACCAGTGTTTGTTTGGAACTGTAATTTGTTCCCTACTGCTGGGACTACTTGAAGAGTTCTGTTGGAAAGGCCCCATTCCTGCTAATTTAAGGAGGTGTAAGGATTTCATGAAATTAATTAATTCATGTGGTAAATATTTAATGACCATCTATTAAATGCAGGCAGTGCTAAGGATACTATGTGAACGGACAGGCAAAGCTCTCCACCATCATGGAGTTTACATCCTACTGGGCGGACCAGGCAGTGGACAATATAAACAAGTCAACTACATAGTAGGTAGGACGGGAATAAGCCCTAGGGGGAAAAATAAGCAGGAAAGGGTTAGGGTTAGAGAGTATACAGGAATGGTATGTTTGTGTGTGCATGCACTTCTGTGTTTGTGTACACCGATTTTAAACAGAACGGACCAGGAAGGCTTTGTAAGAATGTGACATCTGAGCAGCCACCTGGGAAAGGTGAGGGACTGAGACTTGCAGATATCTTGGTGTGAGAGAGTCTATTTTTAATTTATTTTACATTCATCCCCATCCATCAAAAAGTATTTGTTAGTGGTATAATTAGAAAGCAGGAAGGACAGGCTTCAGATGAGAGCGATTATAAAAGCTAAAATTAGAAAAGTAGGCCAAACAAAGGCTGTGGTGAGGACGTGACAAGTAACAAATATTCCAGAGGCTGTAAACACCACGGTGGGAGTGGGGTCAGTTGAAGTCACCTCTCTGGGAAGGGCAGGACAGATGGTTTTATATTAAACAAGGAAAATTCAAATTAAGCTTCAGGAAAAATGATCAGTTGACAGAATGCATTGGTTGCACCCTCCTGGAGGGGAGGGAAGACTTACCGTTTTTGTTTTTCTAAATTAGAGTGAAATCTCTAACCCATTTCTTTTTCTGAAGCTTAAAGCTCGTCATAGCTTTCAGAACCTCAGGATCTCGAAAGTTTCTGTTTGAGAGCTCTTGTCTCCTTTCTCCCAAGGGGAAAGGAGAGCAGTGTGGTCTTAGGGGATTTTCCCACAGAGAAAGGCCCTTTGCCTTTCTTGGAGATTCTGATTTTATTTTATTATTATTTTTAAAGACCAGAGCCTGCGTTGAGTCAGGGTATCTTTCGACCGGGAAGTGAATGGGGTGGGGACCGTTAACTTCCCTTGCATCTACCAGCTGGTTTCTTGAAAACCACCTGTTTGTTGGTCTGAAAAAAGAAGCTTTGGTTGGGGGAAAAGTAGAGAGGACTTTCTGGTTTTTGGAATCTCCTGTCTTGCTCAGTCTTGCTTGGCCGAAGACTTTTGAATATGCCTCTTTCAGAGGGAAGTGCTACCCGGAGACAAGCGTGTGGGGTGGTCGGCTATGCCTGTCTCCTGTGATCACTCCTGTGCTGGCTTCGGAATTCTCCTCTGAGCCTTTCATTCATTTACAAATATTCCCCAGGACTCTTGTTCCCCAACAAATCTACCAGGTGAAGCTATAGCTGCTCAGTAGTAAGAGGTTAGATGAGGACGGGGATATCAAGAAGAGAGACACTGAGGACCGGAAAAGAGTGGGGAGAAAGCAGGACGAATTTGGTTTTCCTTTTTTAGTGCACCAGAGAATCAACTTGACCCGTGAGAAGCTGAAATCTCTTTCATAGACCTTTACGATAATCCAACACTTTGAAACAGGATGAGCCCCACGGGGGACGGTTTATCAGAGCCGGTCAGTTTCAGTTCCGTATGGAACTGAGAAACCAACAAAGGGCACCAAATGAAGGAGAACCCCTTGTTCCTGATTTCTGAGCATTCATTCTGAGTAGGAGGGCGTTCTAGGGCCTCCTTAGAATAACAGGTTTTAATTGTATCTGGTGCCAAGCAAAAGGAATATGTGGATGTGACCAGAAACGCCTTCGTAACTGTGTCCAAGAGAAGTCTATTTATGACTCCATCATCATACTATAACTTAATTATTTAACTCCGAAGTCTGGGACTCTTTATGCGATAAGCAGATGTGTGCCTCCACAAAAGTGAGACTTCTTTCTTGAAGGGTTGATGAAAGAGATTAGCCCAGTGCTTGTTAATCAGTTGGTTTTCTGAAGTGGGGCTTTTTTGAGCATGAGATCACAACAGGTGCAGAAGATATCAGCTGTGCTGAGACCTAACGCACACACGATTCTTTTTGCAGTGTATCCACAGGGACCTGGCTGCACGCAACATCCTCTTGTCGGAGAAGAACGTGGTTAAAATCTGTGACTTTGGCTTGGCCCGGGATATTTATAAAGACCCAGATTATGTCAGAAAAGGAGATGTAAGTTTCAAAGATGAACCCAGTGCTCTGTTAAATTGCAGGATCCAAATTCGTCTTTGCAAGCTTCACGACCTGCGTTGGGAACAAAGGAAGTTTTCTCTTCAGATGTGTGCTAAGTTGGGTTCTGATTCCTTGTCTTCTACCCTCTTAGGCTCGCCTCCCTTTGAAATGGATGGCCCCAGAAACAATTTTTGACAGAGTGTACACAATTCAGAGTGATGTGTGGTCTTTTGGTGTCTTGCTTTGGGAAATATTTTCGCTAGGTAAGTCACTTGTTTTTTGTCCCTCCATCCATACTCCCAAGAGAATGATACAAGTCAATGGCCCCAGTGCACCTTTTCCTCTCCTGCATTCCACCTTTATCTGGTGAAGGTTACTTGGAAGCTTTGGATAGTTAAAAATATATATATATGTGTGTGTGTGTGTGTTTGTGTGTATATATATATATATATATATATATATATATATATATGTATGTATATATTTGGGATGATGTTCAAGAATCAGGGTTTTTTCCATAAGTGACTCTTTTTTTTTTTAATTTTATTTTTTATTTTTTATAACCGTAAGTGACTCTTAATCTCACAAAACAAACTGAGAGTTGCTGGGGGTAGGGGGGTAGGGAGAAGGGGGGTGGGGTTATGGACATTGGGGAAGGCATGTGCTATGGTGAGTGCTATGAAGTGTGTAAACCTGGCGATTCACAGACCTGTACCCTGGGGATAAAAATATATTATATGTTTATAAAAAATAATAAAAAAATAAATTAAAAAAAAAGAATCAGGGTTTTTTATAAGAAAAAATAAAATCATATAATGTCCCATTCCTGTTTTATTCTAGGTGCTTCTCCATATCCTGGAGTAAAGATCGATGAGGAATTTTGTAGGCGATTGAAAGAAGGCACTCGAATGAGGGCCCCTGATTATGCCACACCAGAAATGTAAGACTTTGAAAATATCTTTCTATCCTTTCTTCGTGCATTAAAACTTCCCTTGCCCAGAAGACTTTTCATGATACAGACCTCTTTCATGGCCCTGTCTGTGTCCTTCTTCTCTCTGGAAGTCTTCCTTGATAATCTCAAGCACTTGAAACAACAGCACTTTATCTATACCTGCCAGTTAGTTTTTATCAGAAGTCAATTTATAACATTTCCTATACATACTTGATGCTCCAAGTATAGGGTTATGTGTTTTATATGGTGTTATATTACTATTTAGTGTCTGGGCTCATGGTGGAGTTTTCATAAATGTTTACTCATTCAAGTGCTTATTCTCAGCACCAGATGAGGAAGAAGAAGACAGTTAATGACATTAGTGTTTTGCTTCTCTAGATACCAGACCATGCTTGACTGCTGGCATGGGGAGCCCAATCAGAGACCCACGTTTTCCGAGCTGGTGGAACACTTGGGAAATCTGTTACAAGCTAATGCTCAGCAGGTTTGTGACCTCCATCCAAGAAGTGTATCCAAGAGCTTCTCTCCTCCCTAGACGTTCTCATGGCCACCATATTCTTGCAGATCTGAGCAATAATGCTTTTTTTTATAAAAGCTGTAACTCCCCTTTTAGACAGATGAGATCCTAACCACTCATTCCTCCTGATGTATCTTTTTGTTGTCTTCAGATGCTCTTCTAAAGTAAAATCAACTAGTCACTTAATTAATAAAAATTAGCTGATCCACGGACTATCAACAATGGACAGAATTTCGAGGAATTTTTACTACACTGCACAGGCAGCACGATATCTGAAGCCCTCAAAATAGATGGCTTTTCCTCAGTAAAATCCCAGACTCCCAGAACTTCCACTGGAGGATTTTAGAATTGTAATCTTTACCATAACGAAGTTATTTAATCTCCAGTCAATGGCCTCTTACTACCATGAATGGAAGCCAATTTCCTCCTGCTTTTCTTTTGAACAGGTGGGGGACAATGGGTCAAATCTGTTTTTATCAGTAAGCTTTTCAAACGTTTAAAGGTATCACATTGCCCTTTCTTTCTTTGTCTTGATGAAATAATGTTAAATTGTGCAACCTTCTCAGAAGACCCATTTTCCTGCACATTTATTGCTTTTCTCTAGACTGTCATCAGATTTTTCCATTGCCTTGAAATGTAGAGGCTAAAATTGGATGACATGCCTTTTAAAAGACCTGGCTCCTGTAGGTAGGGCTTTGTGAAGAAATGATGTCTGAGCCCTCCGTGTTCTATTGCCGTATCTCTGGCCACAGCCTGCTTTGTCTTCCTCCTGACCACAGTTGTTGGCGGTCCCCTTACGCCTCTTGTTTTTATATTAACTCTTTTAACATACTTTCATATATACACATCCCTTTCAAGTGTCCTTTTGTTTTTGACAAACCATCGTTAATGTTGTCTTTAAGTTCTGCACTCAGATATGAAAGCGACAGACCTCATCACCAAGGAGCCCCTATGGCCTTTGTTTCTCATGAAAAGGTTCTTGAGGGGCAGGAGCCATAACAATAGCACTCTGTGTTTGTTGTTTCAGGATGGCAAAGACTACATTGTTCTCCCAATATCAGAGACTTTGAGCATGGAAGAGGATTCTGGACTCTCTCTGCCTACCTCACCTGTTTCCTGTATGGAGGAAGAGGAAGTGTGTGACCCCAAATTCCATTATGACAACACAGCAGGAATCAGGTACTGTATATGATCAACATCCCCCTGGGGGGAAGGATGGGGGCACTTCAAGGTCATTTGGGGAAGGGATGGAAGGAAGATTGCCTCTCACCTCCACATTTAACCTTAGCCCTGAGACTGCTATCAGGGGAAGTGCTCCTTGAAGAGGGCCGGGTAGGTGAGTTGCTCCCCATCTGCGGTCCACATTGCTGCCATAGCTGTTCCTTTCAAATTCTAAGCCCTGCAGCTGCAAATAGCTGGAATGCCACAGTATGTTAATCTCCAGAAAAAGAGACCAATTTTATATAGACATCTGTATTTAAATTATCCCCATGTACTCTTTTATTAATGTGAATTAAATGGCTTAGGAAGGATTCTGGAAGGAAGGGTTTTATGCATATATGAGGACACACTTATGCCTCTCTGGCTAGGATGCAGGGTGCGATGGGGATGTGTCCCGAATTGGACTGAACAGCACATCTTCAGAAGCCCCTCCCTAGTCTGATTTTCAGCATTTTATTTGCATAATGGGAATGCTGGACTTATTTAAAACACATGCACTGCTGTCCTCTCCTGATCTGTAAAGGGGTTCTGAAGGCAGCTTTCTTTTTTCTCTCTTCCAACACCTGTGTCTGAGGAAAGAGTTGATATAGTGTCTACACTATGATATTAAAATTGCCTTTTACGAAGTCTGGGACTTCTTTGTTTCCCACCCACCCCTCCCCATTGGGTGTTTTCCTCCTGTAACTGGCTCCCCTGATCACAGGGTCCAGCCTGCACTGGTGAGAGTGCTGTGGCTGCAGGAGGGGCACGGAGCTCTAGGCTAGCCGGGCCTCCTGGTCAAGGGTGAGGAGGCCCCGTGGACAGTTTGTTCTGTGGAATCATGTAGGATGGCAGGAACACTGCCAGAGTGGGTAGAAGCCAACACGTGAGTTGCTGGTTACATTTGTGTCGGGAGTTTTCAGCATTTTTTCGAAGAACTTTTCCTTCCGTTATCAGATTTTGCCTACATGATAACTCGTAGAGTTACGCAAGGGAGAAACTATTATCTTTCTTGATGAAGATGTTGCATCTGAGGCTCAGAGCAACCCCCTGGTGGGCATAAACAATTGTGGTTAAAGATCCAGATTTTAGAGTCAGATATAACTGGTTGGACAACTAAGTCTGCCTCTTAGTGACCTGACGCTCCTCTTCGCTGTGACCCAGGTGAAGGCGCTGGTGTTCAGAAATGATTATTTTGAGAATTACATGGTGTAACATACTTCTATGTGCCTGGCACTTAGAGAGCACTCGATAGGTGATAGTTATTCATCAAGCTGCTGAAAATCACATCTCTAGGATGAATCCAGGTCCTCCAGTCTTTCTCTTTGTCCCGTTTTCTGCCCCGAGAAGGCGGTACCCTCAAGAGAAAGGTGAATGAACTGAAAGCCAATAGTTCCGCTCTCATGTTTAAAAACCTCTAGTGCAAGCTCCACTGGCCTTCTCGTGTGTTAATTATTTCTTTATCAGAAAGCCATTTGATCATGAACTCTGTTCCCTGGGTTTTGTGTGACCAGGTGGAGTGAGGACCCGAGCGGCAGTCTCTTGGCTCGCTTGGATGCTTTGCATATGGTGCCGAGAGTCGATGAAGTCATGCTTGTGTAATGGGAGTGCCAAATGCAATGCTGGATCTAAATCAGGGCTGCTAACATTTATCCCCAGAAGCATGGACAAATGTGACACCAGGCCTGGCTCCTATTTTCTGTCTGTGATTTTCGAATGGGTCTTTCCAGTCCAGTTTCTCTTTTATCCAGCCATAATTTGAAAAATAAATTGGAAATTGGAATCTTTTGTCGGCAGCCCCCTCTTCACCCCTTCAACCCTTTCTCCTTTTGTAAAAACAAGACTCCACAGTCACATTTTAATCATCTGGGTTAAAAGAAATGCAGCATTGAGGCATCTGCACCTGGCACACCTCGTTTTGAGGCCCTCTTTTGGTTCTGCTTCCCTGGGGAGACCAGAGATGAGGCTGGGGTACTTCTCAGTGGACTTGTTCTGTTCTTTTTCCCATTTCTGGTTTAGGTAGAAAAGCTGAGAATTCTTTCTCATTTGCTTCCTCTTGATAGTTTTCAATCCCATCACATTATACATGGAGCTGAATAGAGGCATCACTGTGGGTACCTCATCACTTGCTGTCCCTTCAAATTAATTAAAAATATTTGTTCAACATTTATTTAGCAAAGAGGCTGAGAGGTGTGTGGGGGAAGGGTGAACAGGACAGATCACCAGTGTCTAGACTTCGCTTTATCTCTAATTTCCCCTGTGGATCGGCTCTGGTCTCATGTTCACATGCTTTCTGCAAGAAAACACATATTAATTGGACTCATCTTTCTTTGAGGGCAGTTTGGGGACCATCTGTGGTTGCTCCGTCATTTCCCCCGGGAGTCTCACCTCCCACTCCAAGCAGCTTATCAAAGATTTCTTTTCTCTCCCAGAGAAAGGTTTTGGCACATACCATTTTTCTTCATTTTGGTTAATTGCTGGTGATGATTAAGTGCTCCTTGTGGATTGATGTCTGGACAGCCTCCTGGCTAGACGTTCCTGAATTTGGCTGTGATCTCAGACTGCTTGCAGTGAAACCATCCTTTCTCCACCTCTGTCTGTCTTCTCCCCTGCGCTGGTCCCACCACACGGTCAGTGCCTGCGTGGGAGAGAGCAGTGCTGTGCACGTAGTAGGTGCTTCGTAAAGACTTGAACTGTCATATCCATTGTTCTCTTCTAGTTTTTCCTTCCTGTTGCTTTTCCAAGGGAGTCAGTGTAGAGTAGGGTAGCAAAACAAAACAAGACAATGGGCTTTAGAATCTGAAGGCCAATTTCAAATCCCAGTCCTAGCCATTTCCTCCCTAAGTCTTAGCTTCCTCAACTGTTTTTTTCTAAGGCAACTGTATTATGGCCCAAACTCACCCCCTCTCATTGATTCTATATGCCACATATCTCTGGAATCTTATCTACTTTCCTAAACCCTGTGGGTACCCTCTCTCCTGTGCAGGCTGCCCTTCTTTCTTCTAGAGACATGGAAAAGAGCCCCTAAATTGGTCTCACTGTCTGTTTTCACCTTCCTCTACCAGAGTCAGCTTTCTAAAGGGCGCATCTGACTTTGTCAGTCTCATGCTTCAAATCCTTCAATGGATACTCATAACTCAAACAGTCTACTTATGTGATTTAAGACAAGTTCCTTAACCTTTCTATGCCTCGGTTTCCTCTTCTGAAGCTGGGATACTGATACCCACCCCTAACAGATACCATTTATGAAGACGCTATGAGACAGCAGTTGAGGACCATTTAGCACAGTGCCTGGAATGTGAGAGATTGTCAGTAAAGGATTCCCGAGTGAGTGAATCAATGAATGATTAACTGTGGTATCAGTAGTTTTTAGCAACAGCCACTTTCAGGGATTGGACTCAAGAGAAGTGGGCTTTTCTCTGTCTCTGTATATATTATGTCCTCTTTTTTTGTGGAATTTCCTGAATGAGGATGTCACTAGTGAACCTCATTCTCTCCTTTCTGTAAGGGGAGGAACCAGCCTCCTGGTCCAGGGGAGGGAGACTCAATTTCCATTCTCCTTGTTTGGCTCTAGTGTGTCCTCATTCCACTTGGTCACAGAAAACACAGGAATATGTAACATGTCCAGAAGCCTGCCAAGGGGAGGAATTATGCTGGGATAAGCGTGGAGAGTGAATTTCCTGTCTCTTGTTGTAAAAAGGACTTCCCTTCTTTCCACTGGACTGTTGGTGCTTTTTACAGAATCAGACTCACCCAAAGCCACATAGCAGGGAAGGAGCACCCCCAGGAAACAGGTGATATGTTATCTGATAAGTCCTATTCTTTGAACCCCTAAAGGAAACTGGCACCCTTTGGAACTCAAAGGAGGAAAACAGGCTTTGGCTGATAGAGCATCATTCTTTCTAGGAACACTTGCCACCCACCTCATTCATCCTTCAGATATCTCCGTGAGTGAGGGAGGGAAAGTTACTGCCAACACATTTTAAAGACGGGGCAGTAGAGGCATGGAAATATTCATGTCTTTCCCAAGTTTGTGTGGTCAGTAGTAGACTTTGAAATAGATGAAACATCTCATGACTCTTGAACCACTGCCTTTTCCCAAGACCAGCCATTCTGTGGGCTGAAAATAGGGGATTGTGAGACTCAGCAGCCCCCTCCCCACCCAACACACACACACTAAGCCTCCATCACATGCAGAAAGAAGAGGTTGTCTCCAGATCCTGGTGGGTTCAGTGTCTTTTACAGAACCCGGGTGAGATCTGTAGGTGTTTCCTCTGCCCATCTTTCACTGAATGGTTGTTTTGTGGGCATTGTCTAGAACAACTTTTCTGGAGGTAGCCAGAAAGATGTTCAATGCTCTATAATATGTCGAGAGCCCAGTGGAGGAATCTCAGGCAATCAGGAAACCATGAGAAGGCGGTTGATCACTTAGTTTGCTGTTGTTGTCTGTAGTCCAGCCCCGGCCCTCAGAAGTAGGAGTCAAAGGAACAGGAGCTCATCTAGGCCCCTCACTTAGATTATACTTTTAAATAGGCCCTCACAGGAAATGAAGCCTTCACTGTGTGCTAGCAGAGAAAGATTTTTATTTTGTTTTGTTTTTCTTTTTCCAAAGGATGTTTTGAAGGTTGCTATTAAACTTGTGGTTGAAAGATAATGAACTTAGGTATCACTTTTGGTCTCTGCAGCCAAATATACCACCACCCAAATATAAATATTGGTTCTTTTGCAGCCAGTATCTGCAGAACAGTAAGCGAAAGAGCCGGCCCGTGAGTGTAAAAACATTTGAAGATATCCCGTTGGAAGAACCAGAAGTAAAAGTAATCCCAGATGTAAGTACATCTTTTAAAAATAGTCTTAAAAATAACACAAAGGATGAAATATTAGCTAGATAAATATTAGCCTAAGCATTAGAGTCTTGGAGCCTCATTATAAAGGTATGTGTCATGGGGTCATTATGGAGATGAAACTGATCAGTACCCCCCACCATTGGATTTTCCATAAGGACAGCCCCTAGTCCAAGGTTCTAGATAGCCTAGCCTCATGCCCAGTTCCACTCAAGTGTAAATAGTACCACTGTGAAAAATGGGATGGCATTAGGTCTCCTCAGCTTCTGCTTCTTGAATTCTTTTCTTCCAGGCCTGAGTTTACTACTAGGAAGCGGTTGTTTCTTCTTGTAGCTGGTCCATTTTCTGGCTATGATATCTTTACCTCCCCCTGGGGAACACTGGAGCATATTGTCTGATAAAGTTAAGAAATGAGTTAAGAAATGAGTTAAGAAATTGATTTAATTAAGTAGTTGGTCAGTGTGCACACTCAGTCAACTGTGCCATCTCCTGTCTCTTAAAAAGGACAACCAGACGGACAGTGGTATGGTCCTTGCATCAGAAGAGCTGAAAACCTTGGAAGACAGAACCAAATTAGCTCCATCTTTTAGGTAAGGCTCAGTCAAATAGAAAAGACAAATCTCAACAGGAATTTTTAGAAGGAACTTAGGACTTTCAATGTAGATGCAGTTTTCCCCTTTTTGTGTCTTTGTTGGTTAGGCAAATTTGCATCAACTCAACTAATAAAGAACTGAAACTAATCAAACAAATAATTACATGCCACATTTGAAAAAGAATCTGAAATTAATTAGGGGATTTGGTCAGTTTTTATAGAGAATTTATGAATACCAGGGAATTTTTATATTTATGTAGTACCAGCTAAGTAACAAAGGTCATTGGAGGTAATCCCTTAAATTGAGATGATTAAAATCTTTGTGGACTCTGAAGAATTTTCAAACCTGTACCTAAATGAGTGCATCTGTCTTTAGAAGTGTGATGCATAAATAAGCCAATATCTATTTGTTTGAGATACTTAAACATTATTGGCTGAATTATTTGGCTTATTATTATCGTTGGCTTAATCGTGGAAAAAATATTAAATTTGGTTTTTAATATGATTTCCCCCATGTGGTTCTGTAGGAATTTATAGTTGTTTTTGAATAGATGTACCTGTTTTTAACCTACTACATAAATGAAAATCTCTATAAAAATGCTAAGATAAAGAGCAGTCATTTATTTGCTAGTGAACTCACTCTAGGTGAGAACTGAAGACTTTGATGTACTTATAACCTAAACATTATATAAAATGGGAACACCCATTGGTTATTGAGGGACGTTCACATAAAGAAAAGGTGAATTAAAATGAGCCACTGTGCAATTGTATTATTTGCTTTAGGCCCAGGGTGAGAACTTGTTAGAGCCAATGACATGTTTCATTCATTGATTTAAAATATATTTATTCAGCAGTGGCTATGTGCCCGGTACCATGCCATTGTTTGAGATACTAAACTCAATTTCTTGAGGTTGAATTGAAAGAAAAATTGTATTTCTAGTTATTTGAAATATCTTTTAAACCATAAATGAACATAGAGTTAATGAAATCCTTTTTGTAGTTTTTAACACGAATAATTTGGTAAACGTGTATTAAGGGGAAAAACCCACACCTCAGAATGGCTTGAGAAAAATGTAAATCCTGATGTTTTTAGATCAGCACAGCCTACACTTTTAGGCTTTGACATGATTATGGTCTGTCACGATTCCACGCCGTTGAAAACATTCTCTAGTTGCTGCTGAGTGACCCAGGCTGTCAGTCCTTCCAAAGAATGTGGCTTTGACGAGTAAAAAGCAGTTTTTGACAGTCTGGCTTGATTACACACACACGCTTCAAGTTATTGAAGTTTAAGTTTGCTCAAGAACTTTATTAACACTGTACATAGGCCTTGTAATCCTTAATCAACACTGCGAGGAAAGCAGAAATCGACTCTCAGAACATCCCAATTTCCTTTTACATGGTCAAAGAGTCCCCTTGGCTCCTATCATTGTATACAAACCTATCAATCTTCAACGCCATAAAAATGCTCCATTGGTTGGAGCCTTTGCATCACTCAGGAGAACTGCCTTTCATCTCGTCACGGGCTTGAAAGACTTGGACCTGAATAAGAGGACTTATCTGAAACTACTAGCTCATGCTAGTACCTGAAAATAGACATTGTCTGAGTAAACCTGATACGTTGATTAACAAGTGGGGGAGATAGGGGCTGGTGTCTCCAGGGAGATTACAGCCCACACGGGGTCGGGAACAAAGTTAGGGTAAAACGGGAAAGAACTGTCTTCTTTCCACCAACTCATTCAGTTGTCATTTCTTCCACAGTGGACTGATGCCCAGCAAAAGCAAGGAGTCTGTGGCATCCGAAGGCTCTAACCAAACAAGTGGCTACCAGTCTGGGTATCACTCCGATGACACAGACACCACTGTGTACTCCAGCGAGGAGGCTGAACTGTTAAAGCTGGTGGAGATTGGACCACCAGCTAGCAGTACGGCCCAGATTCTCCAGCCTGACTCTGGGACCACATTGAGCTCTCCTCCTGTTTAAAAGGAGGCACCCACATCCCCCACTCCTGGAAATCACATGAGAGGTGCTGCTCAGATTTTCAAGTGTTGTTCTTTCCATCACTAGGAAGTAGCCACATTTGATTTTCATTTAAAAAAAAAAAAAAAAAAAAGGACCTCAGACTGCAGGGAGCCAGTCCTGTAGGCATTTCCTGAGAAGATGTTTGTGACTCAAGAATGTGTTTGTGTTTTCTCCCGGTGTTGACCTTCTGTTTATGCATTTAGAAAGCATGTATGATGCCCCTTAATGTGGGTCTCCCCATGGGTTCTAACAAAAGAAGTTCAAGGAATGGCTGCATCCTCTGTGAAGCGGCAGCACCTGGGGAGTTGACACCTCTCTGTAAAACCAGAAGATAAACCAAGCAGTGCAAGTGCTTTAGGTGTTGAAGATGGGAAAGACCTTTAGGGCTGAGTCCATCCAAGAAGCTTTGTTCAGGATACGGGTTCTGAGCCAAGTCGTACGTGTGGGGTTTGGATTGACAGAAAGGAAGATGTCGGCTTGCTTTGAGAGTGTACTGGAGCCTGCAGATGCATTGTGTTGGCTCTGGTGGAGGTGGGCCTGGGGTCTGTTAGGAAAGGTAAAGGCTTCAGATGAGGTTACTGGTTTAGAAGATTTCGTGCTCTTCCCAGTTGGGCTAAATGAGAGCTCCTTGAGCTGTTTCCGACTCCTGATGAGAGTTCCTTCCGGACTCTTATGTGTCTCTTGGCCAAGCCCCAGGAAGGAAATGATGCAGCTCTGGCTCCTTGTCTCCCAGGCCGATCCTTTATTCAGAACACCATAAAGAATGGACATTCAGACAGAGACTCCCTGTTGTGTTGAAGAGTTCTGACTGTATAAACCAGCTTCTGGTTTCTTCTGGATGAATACCCACATATCTGTCCCGATGTGATATATGTCTGAGCCTGAATACAGTAGGTTCCGTATCAAGCTGTGGTGTCAAAGTTTCAGGAAGGATTTTACTCTTTTGTTCCTTCTCCCCTCCCTGAACTCGGCCCCTTTCACCCCAATCAGTCAGTATTTTAGCAATTTGGCCTCTGCACTCTAGTAAGAACTGATTTGGTTTGTTCACTCTCTGAATGACTGACTATTAGCCAGATTTCAAAATTATTTTATAGCCAAAGTTTTAACAACATCTATTGTATTATTTAGAATTTTAACATGTCAAGCTATTTCTACTGGTTTCTGCCCTTGTATTTTTCATTTGGTACCATAGTGTGAGATGCTGGGAACCATGACTGTAAAACATGCTATGGCACATATATTTATAGTCTGTTTATGTAGAAACAAATGTAATATATTAAAACCTTATATTATATATGATGAACTTTGTACTATTCACATTTTATACCAGTATTATGTAGCATAACAAAGGCCATAATGCTTTCAGCAATTGATGCCATTTTATTAAAAAAAAATTGAAAAAACTTAAATGAGTCCCTTTGCAAGTTTGCATTTCTGTTCTTATCATTTCTCTCACTCCTAAAGTGGAGGAGGGGGAATCAGACAAATTGCCATGTGGTTTTTCATTCTTAATTGTTTCCTTCTTCTTATAAAGGATATTTTTATAAGGTAGTTTATACTTTTTAAACCAGTACATGTATGTTTAGTTAAAAAAAAAATACAACGCTATAATATTGCATGACTATTTTGAGGCAAAGTACTTCTGGGTTGAGGTGTAGTTGCTTCTCCCCTTCTTTTTTGTTACACAAATAATTCATGCATGTGTGAACTCTCATTATATTCTGAGCACTTTTGAGATTCCTAAAACGTGGACTGAGAGATAAAAGTACTCTAACAGTATTTGTGCCTGTTACTATTGCCAACCATAAAATCAGAGGGTGAGAGATCCCCAGACAGGGGGCCAGACCCAGGCACCCCAGGGAAGTGTGAAGCGTACTTGTAGTTCTCAATGATGACTCTATACTTACAGCGTCAGAGGTCAGACCCAACATTGCCATTTTGAGTAATTACTTTTACCTGAATTCAGTGATTACTAAAAATCATTGGCACCCATGAGTGGCCCTAATCTTTGTGGTATTTTTTTACACAAGTGTTGCAATATTTATACAGTCAAATATACATTTTTTAAAAAAGTTTTTATTTACTTATTTATTTTAGAGCTTGTGAGTGGGGGAGAGGAAGGGAGGGAGAGAGAGAATCTCCATGCTGAGTGCGGAGTCCAAAATGGGCTCTGATCCCATGATCCCAAGATCATGACCTGAGCCAAAATCAAGAGTCAGATGCTCAACTAACTAAGCCACCCCAGTACCCTTCAAATGTACCTATCATTTTTGATGGCTTCTGGGTTTTTCAATCTTGGTGCAGAAGGTTGTCTCAGTTCTAAAATAAGTTCTAAATGTTCTTCTTCTACTACAATGAAATCTATATGGAGTGAGGTAGGAATCTGGCTTCGTTTTCTTCAACCAGTTGTCGATCACAGCAGTACTCTTGATTAAATATACCTCTTTGCCTCCATGGCTGGGGAAATGCGCATTGCACTATTTTTAAGCCCTATCATCTCATTGAGCCATTCTGTACAATTTTATGGTGGAGAGGAGGGTCGCCATGGGTGTGTGTGATTCCTGGGACAGTGATTACAGATGTGGGCTATTGGCCAGGATTAGTGGGTTAGGGTCTCTGACAGACATTGTTACACTATCTGTCAGGCCTGAACTTGTCTTTTCCTGTTATGATGATGGCATCCAGTAAATGAATGGAAGAAGAGACCAGGACACCCTCATAGAAAAACAGAATTTTCTTCAGTTTAGGAAAAAGAGATTTTGTTTCTCATAAGCACCCCTTGGCGCTGTCTCCGATGCTGAGAATTTGGATTCAGCTGAAACTTCACATTTTATAAAGAAATGCTTTCAGCACCTCAGGCAGAATGATTAGGAGGTGAGGTTTGGCTCTCTCCTTCCTCTCTCTTCTGTCCTCCATGCTCCTTGTTCTTAGCTCCTTTTCTCTCTTCATTTGCCCTTGAATTGAAGAGAACTTTGTGGCTTTTGAAAGCGCTTCCTGCATGCTCTTATTTTCAGAGCCTTAACTGGAGACATTTGGTTTGTTTTAGGTGTGGCCACCTCGTCCCCTTGGCTCCTGGCCTCCCTCCTTCTCTCCCTTTACTTGCTTTGTTCTTCTGCCTCCTTTCAAACTGCTCTGGCCCTTCACCTTCCATTACTCTATTTCCACTAACCTTCCTCTGTCCCGCACCCTCTGACCCTGCCCACTGCAGCCTTCCTCCTCCATCATCACAGGACAGAGAGAGCTGTGGGGGGATTTAAGCTTATTACCCCACTAAGTTTTCTTAACAAGGCACATTCCTTTGTCCTTTTCAATGAAAGAAAAGTAGAAAAGTGAAAATCTCAAACCCACAACTTTGTAGTTAACCCTATTTTCCAATGTCCCCCCTAGCATGTTTTTCTACCTCTCACTCACACATTAACCTCCAAGATGATAAAATGTAGGCAAACAGGAGGCTAAAGCTTTTGAGACACTGGTTTCCATATACACCTTTGCACACTTGCATGTTCTTTCCCTGTAGGAGCAGTAGGCATAACATGGCTACTTTACATGACAGGCTTTCTCAGGTCTGTAGTGGCTTATAAAGCAAGATGAGGTTCTGATAGTGCTCCAGAATTCTAAGTTGGCAGGTATAGTATGGCAACACAGAAGGAACCTTTGGTTTTATTGTAAATAACATTGTGTTGTCCTTTGTACTACTGATCTACATCATAAACTTTTCCAGAGGATGAAAATCTGAAGTGCAGAAAGAATAAATTCCATCATTGTTACTAGTTTTACTAGGAATTCTTCAGTAGGGAATATTTTATATGATGACTTCTTGGGTATTTCAGAATATTATCAGGTACCATGCAACATTTCATAAGTACATCTGTTTCACAGATCAAAGTGTACTCCTGTATAAACTACCCTGAGCACCTTTTAAGTAGCCTGTGCTTGAAGTTGGTCAAAGGGAACTTTCTTTATTCAATCATTGTGAATAGATCATGGTATATTGCTGTGCCTTTTCCCCCTCTCTCCTATGTAGTGTGGTTGGCAAATTGCTCTGAGGATCTGTCATGAAGAGAGGAAAAAAGATCCCCATTCTTCTCTTATCATCTTTATTCATCAGTGAATTTCAGTGTTCTGCCCAGCTTTCATTCTTGAAGTCATTTGTACCTGAGGATGTCATGCCAGAAAACATTCCTGAGTCCGATCTTACAGAATTAGTTAGTAATGGAAACTTTAAGTGCCAGTGAGTATTAATTTTGGATGACATGTATCTGAGAGCAAGCTTAATCGTAACAGAATAGAATTTTTGGATAAATATATATTATGGATTTAGCTTTCACCTTGTTTCTGTATTTCATGGTGATACTTGTTTCAAGTAGCTCTGTGGTCCCTCACACCTGGGTAGCTAGAAGAGCAGAGAACTAACCTTGATCATCTACTCTGTGCCAGGCATTGAGCTATGCACTCCTCGGATACTGTATCACCGAATCCTTGCCATGGACCCTTGTATTAGGTGCTGTTATCACCATGTCACAGTTGAAGATCAGCAGTTAAGATTTGAAGCCCAGCAGGTAAGGTCATGCCAGGATTAAATCCAGTCTACTTTCACCTTGGGGACACGTTCATAATTGAGATAGCAACCAGGATGGAATCTTCTGCCTTGATGGAAGACAGTGACCTGACTCATCCTCTGATAAATCAACTAACCAAATGAGAGGTACATATTAGGGTGGCCCAGTACCTTTATGTGTCTTAGTTAATATGTGTTGGCTCCAGTATTCTCATCTTTCAGGCAGCTTTATCTATAAGATAAATCCACTGGACAATGGCTAAACATAAAACTTAATGTTGTAATAAACATCTAACTGCCAGCAGAAAGACTGTGTGTTATTTACTAGCTATATGGTCTTGGGTGAGTTACTTAACCTCTTTACTCTTGCTTTTCTCATCTGGATGAGAATTAAAAGAGATGTGTGAAAAGTACCTGCTCTACTACCAGATAGGCAGAAAGCCTTCAATAAAGGTTAGTCATTATTATATTCTTCTTTTTTTTTTTTTAAAGATTTTATTTATTTGACAGAGAGATCACAAGTAGGCAGAGGC